AAGTCTGACAGGATCTGTAAACAACACTCTGACCTCCTTCTCCCAGGGAGAGATAGTAGTGGTACAGTTCCTCACTCCCTTAGCTCTCCCTGCTCTCCTCTGTTTTGTTCTCATGATAATACAGATATACTACCTCACCAGGCAAAAAGTTGGGATTACTTCCAACCAACCTGGATCTGGCAAGAAGTCAACACAACTAAGCAAAGTGTCTTCAAAAGAACAGAGGACAGAGAAAAGGAAGAAACCAAGTCCTAACCGTAAAGCAGCTGTCACCATCCTGATTGTGACAACAATATATGTACTGACATCCATCCTGTCAGTGGCTGTGTGGCTGATCATCTACAGGACACACCTTGGAAGAGAAGACAAGATAAAGAAACTGTCCTGGACAGAGTTGGGTATGATCTACATCTCCAGCTCTACTTCACCTCTACTCTGCTCTACTGTTACTGCTCTTACACTTTTTCTGAGGAGCACTGCCATGCAGCGTCATCTTAAAGTAATGTTTGGGAATTCATTCACAACCAAAATAACTCCGGAACTCTCGATGAGAACTGAAGAATCTAGAATCTAGATAGAAGCGAACTGACATTTATTGTGCCTTCAGAGTCTTACAGAAAACAATCAGATATGTTTAAAATATGGTCAACAATGTAATTGTAGGGCAGTCGTGAGACAAACCGACCCGAAGAGATTTTTTGCTTTAAAGACACTACTGTGTGTAATGTGTAAACGATTTTTTAAATAAATAAATTATTGCTGCACAACCAACTGATTGTGTACTGAGACGAATGTTGGTAATGTAATAGAAGTTTTTAGATGGAGGCACGAGTGATAAGAATCAGTAAACATTAGTCCATGAGAACCTATGGGCGCATGCCTAATTATCTTCGTGATTCTTTATATAACAGGTGTTTATATGATTTATTGTGTACTTCCAGCTAGATATTTAGTTATTGTGAATGCTGCTTAGTTTCTTTGAGGTTATGCTCTCCCTCAAGTTTGTGATCGCAACAAGCTGGTTTTTCAGCGGTCTACTAGAACATTCTATATCAACTTCCTTTACAAAACCGATCGTTATCGATAAAAGATCCCTTAGAAGTCTTAGAGATCAACCATACACTGAAATAAACACTAGGAGATATACCAAACTACCACCAATTACAAACATGATCTATACAATGCCACAACCTAAACCTTCTCCGGAGAAACCAGATAATACTAAGGAAACAGTACTTTTTCATCAGAACGTACTCGTATATACGAAACCATCCAACATAGAAAACGAAACAGGATCCAACAACCCCAACAATAATTGCCCTACAGAGACGCCGGTAAAGCATGATAAGCCACACTTGCTTCTTCCTGTTATCACATCCTGCAACACACTGCTGATAATCCTCAGTCTTATCTTCAACCTCTCCATTCTCACTTACTACTGGACCAACTCTACCAACCTCCCCTCCATCCTCTACCTCCGAACCAGTGTAACTGACTTTATCAGTGCCATCGGGTTCCTGCTCCAAGTTCCTCTGGTTATAAGAGTTCTAGAAGAAGATGTTCCAACAAGTCTGGCTCTGATCAGTTACTGGATAACTACAGTTGAGGGACCACATGCAAAACTGGTATATCTGTTTTTGATAGTTTTGAGATAAATGCATTTTACTGATTTAAAGATTCTATATCATGTGTAAAAAACACTTCTAAAAAATGGTATATCTGTCTATATACCATTTTTAAAACTAGAATTGTACCAAAACTGGTATATCTCACGATATACCATTTTTTTCTATAGGGTAAAGCACATAATTTTGTCATTTTTTGGCAATTTTCCGACTGCCTGATATAAACCATGGGTTTTAACCTCGTCTGAAATTCTGATTTAGATGAAACCTCCACCATGTTATAGTAGACAGTCTAGGCAAGTTCTAACACAAAAATGATCGAAATTGCTGGGGTTGAAGATGTCCAAAAAAATTATTTTGAAAAAATGACAAAATTAGGTGACTTTACTTAATTTTGTCACCCCGAACCTAATTTTGTCACTTGAAGATTGTGCAAAAAGTAACCGTTTCTCGGTATTTTAGACTACCTGGATGCATCATTCGAGCGCTTTTTTACCAACATTGACCTCAAAAATCCCAAAGATATGATGTTTTCATAGTTTTGTAGCTTGATGAAAAGATGACACTTTTTGGGTATATAATCTTAGAAAATAGCTCCAAATGCCCCTGAAACCACTGGCATCTTGAAAAACGATTGGTTCTAGGCCTAGGTTGAAATTTTCATGTCTGTAGATAGATTACTTGCTTAGTAATTTCATCAAATATTTTTTTTAGTCATTTTAGATTGAAAAAATCAGATTATCCACCTAATATTTCTCGGCGAAAATATGCTATTATAAGTGTTATGCTATTATAAGTGCCTTATACATATCCTATGGGCAAAAAAACTTCAGAATAGTTGTATAAGGCCATTTTCAACTCAATCTGTGATTTACAAGAAATTTGAGAAAGGTCGATTTTTTTGACAAAATTAGGTACTTTTGGCAAAATCGAATCTAATTTTGTCACCCTCTGTAACTTGAACAATAATTGCGCTAGAGACTTGAAAATTTGTACGTATACTTCTGCTGTAGAAGATATTTGAAATATGCAATGGCATGAAGGTAGCTCAATTACTTTTGAAATAGCAATAAATCAAAATTTTGAAAATTCCTTAAGAAAACCTTAAGGATCTTATTTATTTTTCGGGTTAACAGTTTCGCCTTCATTTTTGACACAGATGCAAAAGAGCTAGAAACTTAAACTTTGTACGAGCAGTTTCAGCAAAGTCTAAGCTTTCTTTTTATACACAATCCTTTTCTTTCAAGCTGAAATTCCGAGCCGAGGCAGTTTTTCAGAGCAAAATGACAAAATTAGGTACCCTGACAAAATTACGTGCCTTACCCTACTATAAACAATAAAATAATTTAACTGAGAATGGTATATCTGAAGATATACCATTTGGGCTGGCTAAAGTCTATAAAATGTGTATAGATATACCGGTTTTATAGAAGATAAGTTTCTTGAAGGTGGTCTATCTGCAGATATACCATTTTGTTTTCATGATTGTTAAAAGCTAAAATGGTATATTGTAACATATACCAGTTTTGGAAAAATAAAATTTCACTTTTTTTCAAAAATTTCTTCAAAATTGTTCAAAAAAAGTTCCAAAGATGCACCTTTTCACCCTGAAGACTATGAGCTACCTGCGCAAAATTGGTTCAGATATACCAGTTTTGCATGTGGTCCCTCAGTTTCTGTTAGGATGAGTGTCTTCATGAACTGTGTGCTGGGTGTGGTCAGATGTATCAACATTCTCAACCCTTTCTATCCAGTCAACAGAAAGTATGTTACCATCTCCACCCTGGTCTATCTTCTTCTCTGGTCGACAATTACATCTCTGGATATCTGGACTTACATCACAAAGATTTGTCTCCAAAACAAGGTCTATCTCATCAAATCACTGGTCCTCAAACCAGAGCCAGGATTTTCTCTCACAAGTCTGACAGGATCTGTAAACAACACTCTGACCTCCTTCTCTCAGGGAGAGATAGTAGTGGTACAGTTCCTCACTCCTTTAGCTCTCCCTGCTCTCCTCTGTTTTATTCTCATGATAATACAGATCTACTACCTCACCAGACAGAAAGCTGGGATTACTTCCAACCAACCTGGATCTGGCAAGAAGTCAACACAACTAAGCAAAGAGTCTTCAAAAGAACAGAGGACAGAGAAAAGGAAGAAACCAAGTCCTAACCGTAAAGCAGCTGTCACCATCCTGATTGTGACAACAATATATGTACTGACATCCATCCTGTCAGTGGTTGTGTGGCTGATAATCTACAGGACACACCTTGGAAGAGAAGACAAGATAAAGAAACTGTCCTGGACAGAGTTGGGTATGATCTACATCTCCAGCTCTACTTCACCTCTACTCTGCTCTACTGTTACCGCTCTTACTCTTTTTCTGAGGAGCACTGCCATGCAGCGTCATCTTAAAGTAATGTTCGGGAAATTATTTAAAACCAAAGTATCTCCGGAGCTCTCGATGAGAACTGAAGAATCTAGAATCTAGATAGAAGCGAACTGACATTTATTGTGCCTTCAGAGTCTTACAGAAAACAATTAGATATGTTTAAAATATGGTCAACAATGAAATTGTAGGGCAGTCGTGAGACAAACCGGCCCAAAGAGATTTTTTGCCTTAAAGACACCACTGTGTGTAAACGATTTTTTAAATAAATAAATTATTGCTGCACAACCAACTGATTGTGTGCTGAGACGAATGTTGGTAATGTAATAGAAGTTTTTAGATCGAGGCATGAGCGATAAGAGTCAGTAAACATTAGTCCATGAGAACCTATGAGCGCATGCCTAATTATCTTCGTGATTCTTTATACAACAGGTGTACATATATATATATATGATCTATTGTGTACTTTTAGCTAGACATTCAGTTACTGTTAATGCTGCCTAGTTTCTTACTATAACATTATATATCAACTTCCTTTACAAAACCGATTGGAATCGATAATGGATCCCTAAGAAGTCTTAGAGATCAACCATACACTGAAATAAAATCTAGGAGATATACCAAACCTATCTGGAGCTCTTGATGAGAACTGAAGAATCTATATGGAAGTGAACTTACATTTCTTTCTTTTGTTTATAAAAATGTTGGTTCTCGCCATTTAACATAACTTACATTAATTAATTTCGCTTGGAATTTCTTTGAGTATTTTGAAAACATCTCAGATCTGAGCCTATAATTAACATGTTTTAATTAACACATCATATAATGGAAATATTCTCGCTATATATATTATAACTTTTTGAGGAGAAGTTTCTTTCTGTGTTTTCCAAATTAAAGTACCCATTATATTAGAGTATTAGGAACGAAATGTTTAATTTGTTACAGAATTTTTCTGGTAGTATTAATCAACATGTATGAAAACATACCCCGAAGAATAGTTTTTCCAAGTAGATTTCGTCTCCAGCAGATATATTTTCCTCCGACTCTAGCTGAGCTCCCGGGATATCATCACAACCAAAATGAGACTTTAGTTCCTCCTATTAATTGGAGTACAATCAGTAATAATACCAGACATGCAACATGAGTGGTGATTATCGAATTATAATAAACAATTTGGACTATCGAAAATTACTATTCAAATGGTGGCGAAAGCTTACCATAACAGTTGGCAGTTCAATGTAGTCCAATGACTTGGTAATAACCCCGGCTGCTGTGTCAATGCCTCTGCTAATCTTCTTGATGGGGTTTGTGTACACCTTACCATCTTTACCAGTGAATTTGTTAAACAGCGATTTGTCGAACGCCTGGTAAATTAGATGCTAGGAACTATTGAGATTCAATGCTTAAAATCAAACGAGACATTTGCCCGAAAGCTGGCCGAACTGATCTGTAATAAAGCAAAACAGATCACTGATCAGGATAATCAGGTTTACCAGGAAAGTATTTGACCAGATGAAGTAACTGACGACAGTGCCCACTTACCAGAATGTGTATCATCTTCTGCAGGGTCTTGTGAACAAGTTCCTCGTATTTACTAACGTGGCTATTCAGTTCTTTAGTGCAGAACTTCATGTAGCCGTGTGTGGGTCGTCTGATGAGATTCATTGCGTTATTAACAAAGACTGTGTCCATAGTATCTCATAGTAACGAAACATGGATGTATTGATTCATACTATTGCAGCTAAATGTTAGGAACTTACCCGGAATCTATTCTAGAAGAGGTACAATGTTTGCCCTGGACAGCATTATTGCCAGGATCTCCATCTTCACCGCATTCTCCAGCAGAGACGTACAAGATAAATCCCTCTCGTACACCTTCTCCTGCAGGCGTCACCATGCCTCCTATCATTTGGGTGCAAGCCTGATGGCAAAATGTCGTTAAAAAATCTCACAAAGTTGAGATCATCCACTACCTTAGCTCGAGATTAGATAGCCATTAGCTTAGCTAGCTCAGATAGCTAGCGCGCCTATTTACCGCGCGCGCGTAAATTCTCGCTACAGTGAATATCTTTTGCAACATTTTCTTTAAAAATTTTGTGTTTGTACTTCGCGCCTGCCGTTAAAATATCTTCTGATCAACCGAGCATCAAGCTACAGTAGGATGGGACAAAATAGACGGTCTAATTGGATAAGATACACGCAAGAGGACAGGAATTTATTACCCCTAAATGTTCGGCAGGAATAATCTGCGAGCCGCATTGCTGATTGATTACACAGCCTCGAATACACTTCCGGACGCCCATGGACAGCACGGTATTATCGGCTGTACATCCCCTGAAAAATACGGAAATTAAGAGTGATATAGGATGAACAGTGATGAATATCGGAAAATGGTAAACCAAATTGTAAATAACCGCTTAAATTTGTTTCAGTAACTTTGTTCACCTTTCTATCCGTAAAACGCCTTGAGGTTGTTGGTCAACTCTGATGTTATCTTCTACCCATTTCAACACAGCTGGTAATAAGCTATCCTGAAATTAAGTGATTAAATAGAATGGAGGTAAGGGAAACACAATCCTTAAACTTTGTAACTGTTATGGTAGAGATAAATTTGAGAGTCCGGTAGACACTATATCAGACGTTTCCGAGTCTGGTCTTAAGAATACAGCTATGCTTTCACTTACACTGCAAAGTTTCACACATTCATATTCCCACACATATCAGTGATTTTGGCGGTGTTAGAATTTAGGAGTTGGAAATATAGGACCTCACTAAACTTCGTGTCATATTATAGGAATTTACAAAGTTGTTTCAAGGGATCACATATTTGGTATCCAGTGACGGCCTCGAACTTTAAAACCCACTGCTTGGATGTCAACTCACATTCTTCAGTTTAAAACCTATAATAAACAGTCACTAGTCACTGAAACAGTCACTAGTCACTGATTTTCTAAACCCAACAGCAGAGCATGTCCTAATTATATGGAAATTATATCGGGGACTTATTCCCAAAAAAGAGGGGAGCCGGTATCAAATTAATCAATTTGTAACACAAACTGAGGGCAGTGTGCAGAGAACAGGTAATTAACGGGAGGGGAGGGTGTAGCTGATAAAGGAATTACCGTGGTGTCTAACTCCCGTGTAACCCTGTCCTTAGGTTTAACCCCCCTCTCTCCCCCCTCTCTCTCTCGTTTATATAACTAGTCACTCCGACACACTCACACAAACATCTTGCGCTTCACACGAACCCTTCAAATTCCTCGGGGATTCAAACTATAAATTCGTAAATTCCTGGCATGTTGTCAGGGTACACCCGGAGTATTTGGGGTTCGCCTGTCTACCTAGACAGATTCAAGACATGATCTAATTCTTGGGTTTTAACTTGTCAGAGTTTCTAAATTTCCGTTTCAGACGTCCATCAAGACAGGTCTGAAGTCCTGTCTGATCGTGTTTGTGGTGACTAACTGAGCTGCTCAATATTTATCAGTACCCCTCTCCTCTCCCTTCTCTTGTCACGGAAACTCAGTGGTTTTGTGAAGAAATTCTACACTTTTTACCCTTTGAAACTCAAGCCATCGGTTAATCAATCAGAAAGAGGTTGACCGGTCACCTGATATATTTCGACCACTCAGAGATAGTTGTTTTGATCACGTGACAGACCACAGTCACTGAACTATTTTGCCGGGATGAAGCCCTCAAACCTCATCCCGGTAAAATTAGCACCCTCCGTACGAAATAATTAGACGATAATGAGGTGATTGGATGGTAATTGGGTAACGAAAATAAAACAGTAAAAACCACTCACCTCTATTAAGTTCCTCTGTGATTCTTCTAAACTGAAATGATAGAAATTTAGTACGGCTGTCCATGGCCACGGGGACACACTAACACCAGTAATATCATCATGTTTTGCGGCAACATCTTAGGCAATAACCGATTATGGCTCCTTATCTACAATCACCAATTATGCAATGAGATTTTTGGAGGATATATCCCAGATATCAGGACACAGTGAAGGGTCGTGTCCGTCTCATATTTGGTAATCTTCGACCTGACACGTGTCTCAGAAACCCAAGTTACAAGCCTTGCATATTTGGGTAATGGGTTGACTGGTATAAATAGCGTAGCTGGGGTGTTACAGCATGGTTAGTTGACTACGTAAACAAGGGTTAGAGGAATTTTAATTATGATTACGAGATTTTTTGCCCGGATTGGGTGCGACAAAAGTTAAATCATTGTTGACTCCTACTCCTACATGATTCCGATGGAAGGGTTATAACTATTTTTAGAAAAAATTACGGCTAAGAGATTTAGGGAGTTCCCAAAAGATTAAATCATGGCATGCTTATCTAACCTACCGCTGAAATGTTTAACACTCGCCAGAAGATAAAATTGTATCCAAAATAGATTTTCTTCTATTGATGTGACTTACAGAAACTAAATTGTAAGGAATTCGATACACAGAATGAGGAACGAATTCCAGGGTTATTGGATAAAGTCCGTTACTGAGTCTACATGGCGTGCCCTATATTTCCTTCCCTGATCTGTGAACTGATATTATTGACAAAGACTTGCAAGGGCTGCTGTCTAGCGGTGTCCGCGGTAGAAACCAGGATGGTGGTCTCACACCGCCTGTCTAGTCAATATATTGGGTTCATTATTATTACAGGTGTGCATGTAATGCAGACAAACGGATAAGAGACACTAATGTTCTGACAGATTATCATTTTTAAATTTAACTGAAAAAGTCCCGGCCCCTGCTATTCGATTATCGTTGAAAACTTATATCAAATTAATCGAATGATGGGTCGTTAGTGACTGTAGAATTTGTGTAACTTAAGTATAGACAGCTCAAGTGCAGGTTAGACTTTGTTTATTGATAAGATCTGTGCTCTACAATCTACATGTAACTGGTAATAGACAGTTCTGGGTATTCAGAGAACGGAATTTATAAGCATTATCACTAATCTACATTCAAAGTACGTGCTTTTTCATGGTTTATATTGAGCGATATGGATTGGCAAACAAGTGGGCGACACAGTAGAAATGTCTGGGTAACCCCTGACCCCACCTAGTTTTAAGTACGGACTAACGGAGCGATATCAGGTTGGGTTAGTTGCCATGGTGCTCTACTACTATGGTGCTAACGGTTTGTACATGCGGACAGCAGTACAGCTCCAGAGAAATACCATACGCTAGGAAAATATAAATGGATGAAATTCTATTTTTGAACGTTCCGATGAAATTGTATGTATATGAAGCTGCGTTATGAAGGTGTGTTCAAATTTGTTGGCCCTCAAAATATGTTGTATTGTCCTGCCCCTTGGTGTGGCACACGTTAGCGATAAAATTAATGGTCCTGTAATTCAATTACCAAACCTTGTAATGCAATATTGAAATCAAAGAAGGAATTGGAGCCGTGCTTTTGGTATCATTTGGTTGCAGACGCCAGAAATTTGAAAACAAATTCAAATTTATTAAGTCACCAACATATCTGTCCATTGACCAATAATTATGGAATATTAATTTGCCGCCAAAAGTTCATCGTGCCAACACATTATCACAAAGGGTGTAAATAATCTACCTTCTCCAAATCTCTACCCTGACCCCAGTGACCCCTCCCCATTAATTTCAGGATTTCCAAAACTGGAGCTTGGTGCCTGGTGCCTGGTGAACTTTGGGTTTCTTGGAATTTTCCCGCAAGAACGTCCAGAACATACGTGTTATTATTAAGGTAGACGGCTGCAAAACGGATTGGGTTGGGTGAACCTGTGCATTTGTTGGGTTTCCCCGGTTTTTGATAGGTGTTGATTGGATGTTAACTAGAAGTGTTATTAGCAGGTTTAACCTCCACCTTTTTGTTACTATCACCTGAATTTCCTCTTCTCTACAAAGGATCCTTCTAGAGATCAGGGTTTGATTGAAGTTTTAAAATCTTACAATTGTCGTCTGTAACTGTCAGTAACCTTGTCAGATAGTAATGACTCACTTTAATTATCGTGTATAATCCAATTCCCTAACCATAAAACATCAAATCTTAACTCTTAAGTCTGCTGCAACAAATTGCACTGTCGTATATCAGGAGACACCCAAAAATACATCAGTTCATAATATTAATAAAGAGGCATACAATTTAACAAAATAAGGTAATTCGACGTCACCCAGCCGGGACAATATTTTCTGGATAACTATTCAAGTTGATGGATAATGACGATTAGTTTTCAAATACGAGGTTCCTTGTATTGATCGGCATTACTACGTAACTTGTTACTCATGACCTCCAAGAGTGCCCGCTTTCTGCCATGTAATCGGTACCAATGACCATTCAAATGAGTTGGTACTATTTTTGGCTGCAACATTTAGAGAACTGTTAGATCTTTGCTACCTACCTACCGCGACAAAATTTATATTATATTTGGTTCTATGTTGCTACCATGGTGCTTCACCACATCACAAATACAGAAGTAGGTTGACACTAAGACACCAGAAAGATAGAAAATTAGACAATACCGAGTTAGAAGAATGACCACCATCCATTCTAATGAGTTCTGACGTAAGCGTCAAAAATCTAGTCCTGGACCTAGAATGTGTGAAGTACGCTCCGGCGGGTTAGAATGATCTACTCAAATACACAATTCTTCTAATTCTTAATACAGAATACATGCAGACAGCCGCATATTTTCGAGTGCTTACCAGCGGCTTATCACTAATTTATCAGGATTATTTGAGGACTATATTATATAAATTTTACACGCCTCCAAGTTCTACTTAAATGGTGATAAGTTTTCAGGAATAGTTCTCCCAAAATAGAGTCCTCCAGTAATTGCTACTTGTCGCGCTAGCATGCAGTTTGCATGTTTATGCTGATTATATTGATAAGCACCTGCTTCCCTAGCATTCTCCATGCTCACAGCTGTTCACCTCATTAGGTATTATATAACCTTGCTTCACAACACAATCAAGCAAATAACCACCTAATATAGGGCATGATGCTGCAACGATCTTCAGAAGGAAGAGAAAGTTTAAGTTTTTAAAACATATCGTTTTTATAATGAATTTATAGTTTTTAAAAGGTCTCGGTACTGGTTACACAGTGAGAGGAAGATAATATTACAATATGTGATAGCAGCTACACACCGCCCAGTCTCTAACCAGAGTTGATTTTAGAGCTCGCTTACATACAACCTACTCAGTGTACTTACGATGTTTATTTGATTTTATATCAGATAACAAAATAAAGAAATTTGAAGTAGTGTGTAGTACACAAGTACATGTATCTGTGCAGATAACCTTGTTTGCGAGTGAGCCCGCACGGAATTCCGTGCTGCACGCGGGACATATGCAATCCAATCAACTTGTCTGCAATCTCAACTCTTATCTGAAATGTCTCGCCTAAAACGATTTAGCTGTATAAATTGAAATCTGCTGGACATGACCTAATTTTAGGTATTTTCTAAAGGTATGTGCTGAAGCTGGCTTATATTATGATTTCAACTAGATAGCCAGTGAGCATCTAGACCAAGGACTGTTAAGTTTCATCTTTCCCTGATAATCGGACTGATAAGTTAGACTGCATCCTGATAATCTGATGATTCGTATGTGTGGAAAAAGAAAGAACGTATCGATTTCTTAAACTGTTAGTGACTTGGACCAAATATGGGTTTATCTCATCAGATTACAAAGAGAAAACACCAGTACCTACCAGATTCTGATACATGATCTTGGGTGTCTTTAATGACAAACAAGTTTTACAAAAAGTGGGGTATGTGGCGGGATCTAGGCCGTGACACCCCGCTTACGACCTGTTTCTAACTCAGTTTACCAGCTGTACTGCCTCCCCAAATTATTTATGAGTGAAACGTCAGAGTTTTGGAAAAATCACCAATGTTCTGCTCTATTCTAGTCGCTTTTGCAAATTTTCCGCATTCTAAGGCAGTATGAAATATTTTTTAAGATGTGTTGAGGAATGCTTAAACGGGTGAGCTGATTTAAGTGCCGACTCTTTTTATCTGTTGTTATGAGCAAGTGATAGGCACGGAGTGGACTTTATTCTCACATCTACCGTTATGGGCTGTGATTTTATTCTCCTACTTCTGAATTCTATTCATGTGGAATATAGTAAAGCAAAAACTCGAGACCTTAAACAAGATCCTAGATTCAAACACAACTCATCCAGCATTTCCTGTAGGTCGTAACAGCAGTAAACTCTTTCTACCACTCTTGTAGCCTTAACATGCCCAGATACCACTAATACATATTTCACTAACAACCAATAAAACATGTTTCTGCTTTTACGTGTAAAGATCAAACACTTGATGACGGGTGTACATTTTTAGCCTATAAAACACGCGGGTGTATGGTGTAAAACTTGGTAACCTTATCAGCTCGTAATTAAAGTAAACTTCCTTTGATACAGCCCTGTCTAGTTGTAGGGCAGTTTTGTACCAACTCTTGTCGGGCTGCACAAATTAGTTTCTTACCATCGATAAGCACAGTATTTTCTCTCTTTTTCAGACGCATACCGACATGGACACCAACATTTCGTTTACGACATGCCTTAATGGATGAGTTTATCTGGGGCTAATTTTACATTTTTTAGGAAACCGGAAAGGTTTGGGGTAAAAATTGAGATATTGGATATATAATATTATTATATCATATATATAATATCTCTGAGTGGTAATTTTATCGGCAAGTACATACAGTCTGATAATTACGTGTTCCTACTTACAGACGGCGGTGACGCATCAGTTCCACATCACCAAGATCAGATACCATTTGGAGGTGAGTTCTCAGAAATCACGTTCGGGATGTTTCGGACCATATTTTGTAATTACGAAATGACATTACTTACAATAATGTGATACATCTACCGTGCGTTTCTGCATTAATAAATCCTACACTGCTGTGGGGAGATGTGCACTGCGTTGTCACGTTTATGAGACCGGGGGAATGAAAGAATGTGTCACACATACTAATAATACCTGACTCCCTAGCAAGTCTCTCAAATTTAAATGTTTTATTTAGAACTTTGATGTACAAGGTAATTTGTGTCACGTACGAGCTAGAGCGTTTTTACCAGCCATGATATTAGTTAGCAGTTATTGGAAGTTAATAATACAAGTTAAAACTTAATAATGTAATGTTTAACTCAGACGGAGATTTTATCAGCCCAGTATATCTCAGTGTAATCTGTGTAAGTCATTAAATAAACCAACCTTTGTACTGAGTTATCGAGTTCAGTTATTATTGTGAGGGGAATTCGTTCACTTGATCCAGTCCTAATTACCTGAAATAATGATGTTAACTAAGGATGTAGTTAGGACCTTTTTTTAGAAAAACATTATTTGTCCGACGGAAGGATCTAAAGATGAACAAAGAATGTTTGGTATGCAAAAGCTGAGAACTTACCAGAAAAAGAAGAGGTATTAGCTTGGAGAACCACATTTCATACCTAAAAGGAGAAACGTTTTACACTTTTTATAGCACATTTAAAAACATGTGTGGTATTTCAATTCACAATTCCATGTGCAAAAAAGTGGTGTGGACAGCTGACAATCATCGATGGGAAAATGTAGTTTCAGAATTTGTTCGAATATCGTGAAGTTACATAGTGTCATAACAAAGGGCCCCGAAAAGTAGTAAAAATGAGTGAAGAAAGGGAGGGGTTGTAAAAACTTTGCAATCCAATACAATGAACTGCTTAGTATGACAGAGTGATAGTTGTAATTGTGCTGCAGAGTCTTAAATCAGAACAAAACTTAAAATCATCAGTAAGGAATGATCAACGATGCACATTTGGGAAGGAGGGGTAGCAAATTTAAAACATTTACAAGTTCTATTTGTCTGGTAAAGCAACCTTTAAAATACGTTTAGTGTCAAACCAAGACGGAATTGTTCAGGAGTCTTTTCAAGCAACTGGCTGAACATCAATCATTTAAGGTTCAGAAAATTAACTGACAGGGTGACAAATGGACAATCTTCAACAAATTTTAGAGTGAAAAGACAGGTTAAAACAGCTTTCCTTGTGTGTGGTAAAAATGAAATACTCTGCTTGATAGCTTGTTCATATTAAGAATATTCACGAAAAGATCGTTTCCAATTGTGGAAATCTGTCTCAAATCAGAACAAAGGTTGAAATCGTCAGTAAGGAATGATCACCGATGCATTTGGGAAGGAGTGGTTGCAAATTTAAAAATTTGGCAAGTTCTATTTGTCTGGTAAGAACAGCAAAATGTAAAACACATATATAGTGTCAAACCAAGACGGAATTGCTCAGGAGTCTTTTCAAGCAACTGGCTGAATATTTGGCAATCATTTAAGGTTCTGAAAAATGGACAGTCTTCAAAAATTTGTAGAGTTTGAAGACAGGTTGAAACAACTTCCCTTGTGTGTGGTAAACAAATTGTTCCTATTAAGGAGAAGATCATTCCCATTAATGAGGAAACAGGCGTCTTCTAAGCACCATCCAAGTGGTTAAATGAAAACAATTTGAATGAAATAAGGGTGGTAGATGATAGATCCAATCAATTGTATATCCATCTAGATCTACCCTTTTTAAGTCATCATATTTAGACAACAAGCATTGCTACAAAGAGAACTGTACTTTTGTTGTACTGCGAAAACAGGCACCAGACAACCTGTAATGTGCGGGGAGCATCAGAGAGGGGTGCTCTTTTTCCCTGTTTTAGGTCATTTTGACAGAAAATCGTCCGATTAGGTAAATTGTACTTTACACTGGCAAACTTAGAAAATTGGCACAAAGAAAATTGAAGAACAAAGCTCCAGGGGGGATGTGGCAAAAGGCAGTTGGGGACACAAAAAAGACACAGGAAAATTTGTGTGCTATCATTACTGTAGATCTGTGCATATATTTGACAGTAAATGAAAGAAACATAGTGCTACGTTGATTGGTGAAGACTCGTGACAGTACAGGTACTCACTCCTCCTACCTTTAACCGACCAAGAGGAGATGAGCAGCAGCAGCAGCAGGTCCCAACTTGCAACTCTAATTTTATTAAAAGTCTGATAGAATCCCTTCTGAAAATCATGTAAAAGATTTTCGCAGGAATAACAAGATTTGACTATTTTACTCAAGAGAAAAAGATCAGCTGCTTATAATCAGCCAGCACTAGACAGTTCCTCTAGATCCCCCATCATCTGCAGACCCATCGTATTATACTCCTCCACAATAATTCCTCCTCAGATGAACAGTTGGAAACAATTTCCTGTGTCTGGTTGATGAATGTGCGAATCTTAAACTTTAGCACCAGCTGATTCTTGTTTCTCTATTTCACTTGGTTCAGCACAGTGGCGTAATAAACTTCAGCGGGGTCTGCGGGGGGCGCAATCTGAGGGGGGTGCCAAATCGTCAGTTGAATGTGAGACAATTTCGAAAAACTTAACTACGGTACTAGCAAAACTGCGCGTTTTGCTCTAGAAACACACTTTTGAGAGACTTTACCGGCGTATCCTCTAAAATAATTTAATTTCTCAATTTTAGGGAAGGGCGCCAACAGGGAGGCGCTCTTTCAGCGGGGGCGCCAACAGGCAACATGACGCCACTGTTTAAGCAAATAGCGAATTTTAAATTTTGTGCAAGGTCATCCATACCATTGCCTAGCTGTGACGAGCACAAATCAAATTTCTACAGAAGTGAAAGAAAAGCTAGTTTTGGCGGTAGTAAACCTTTCTGGCAGCAAAGTACATACTCAAATGTTCTCAAGAGAAATTGTCCATGATTGATGATTAATCGTGAGACATATGAAAAATCATATTGACCAAACTTCGATCAGCACTCCGTCTGCAATCTGCACATTGCAGCTGTATAGTAAACAGAGGCTGGGCGCAGTCTTTTTATCATCAAAAGCATTTGACAATTTGTGGTTGTACACCTTGGCCATGACAAACGATCACGATTTCAAAATGTTTACATGATTTGACATGAAACTATCATCAAATAAAACAAAATTTTGCAACAAGGAAACTTGAATCAAATAAATGGTGACAAATATAAAGTTTATGTTGGGAAAATTCTCGGATTTGGCAAGGAAGGCACAAGTAAAGTAAACAAACACAATTAAGAATATGTTGACTGTATTATATGATTGGGAAACCAGTAACATCTATGTTAGAACTCATGTGCCATTGATCACTTTTACTGTGGCCCCATCATTCGACAGTGGTAACAATAAATATTCAGTCATCTGAATCAATTGGGTTACAGCAAAACTTGCAGGTGTAAACAAAATTTATTTAGGTATTTGACGGATGGTGCACAATTAAGTTTTTTCTACATTACAATATTATTGACCATTATTAATGGTTCGGTCTGGCCCGGCGCGCGCGCTCACGCTACTTCGTATATAGTTGACATACGTTGCATGCCACTTTTCGCGCGCGATACGAAACATGTATCAAGTATATAGCACTTGCTGCATCAATTCACGTAGCCATGTGTATACGCGTACTGCGTGACGCGCTATGGCAAGCGAGAGGGCTCTGGTTAGAGCAACTGCATCAAGCCATAATATTTCAAGAAAATAAAGGCGAGCGCTACTTCGAAGAAATTTAGACGAGTAACATCCGTCAACAATATTATTAAAACCTGTATCTGCATCATGCATGAACCAGGCCACAGACAACTGACAAAGCTTTGCGAATTCATAGTTATGTCAAAAGTAGTACGCGTAGAGTAAGTGCAGCCCATTCTAATTCTAAATTCTTCGAGTTGAGGTTAAAATTTTGTATCATATAATATCACGGCCGAGCACTCGTGCGGGTCATTCAATGACAATTGACAAATATATAATATATATACCGATACGCATTGTATCACGTCGTGACCCCCACGGTCGTTTCACTATAGAGTTTCTACGATACAGGGGAGCCGCGCACTCGTGCGCGGCGGGTCATGTAACGTATGACAATATACGCAAAAATTTGTGGTTGTGTGAAATTCAAATTATTGAAATTTACAATTGATTATAAGTTTTCCACATTGCACATCACACATTTGACATGTTTTTACATTCATTGCGCACAACTTGTAGTAAGTATAGGTTTAAACCTACCAAGACGCGCGGCTCGCACGCCGCGTCTTGGTAACCGTTAAGCTTTGGTTATATTAGAGCAAACTATTGGGCCGCGCTGCCTGCAGCTTGCTACACGTTGTAAACCTCTTATCTTTTTTAGAAAAGAGGTATACATGATACAGCTTGTCATGTGTCAAGCCGTCGCGATTAGATTTCAACCGTTCTGCGTGTACATTCATTGATTTCGATTTTAATACGTATAGTAAGTATTTAAAGTTAATGTGCACAAATTTTTAATTCAAATCCTTGTATTATTTTCACAATTGCCTTTTAAAAACCAAAACTAACTCCGATTCAATAATAATAGTATCAGTTCCTATACTACAAACAGTATGTTAGGTGAGAAAACAATTTTATCCTCGGACGAGTCAAACTACGCAACGGACAGTGATTCGGATGAAGACAGCTTATCAGACTACTGCCTTCAAGATTCTCCAGAAAGTTTGAATGAGCGAATGTATACCCTAGCGTTGGACCCGCAAAGAAAGATATGTCATGTCTGATCATACAGGCTTGACGATGAACCTGCCGAAGTTCAAGTACATGACTTCGACACTGAGAGTGAAGGTGAAGCTGGAGAACAAGAGGCTGCAGAGAAACAGTAGTGTGATTGCAGCTCGTGTGGTGATGAACTCGAAGACGATTCATATTGCTGTTCGACAATCGGGGTTGCGAAGGAACTGACCGAAAGAAAGTCAGTCAACTGCATTACAGACATTTATAGATTACATACATACATGTTACATGGCGAGATCTCCATCCAAAAGGATTAGTCTGCGTCATCTGCGTCATTACTTTGTATTATACAACTTCGGCGGGTAATATTTCTCCATCCTTTTCGATCTGCAGCCAATCTTCTCATACAATCAATCGTGAGTCCATTACGATCCAATCTCTGCTCAGCATCTTCAATAAATACATCATTTAAGCTCTTCCTAGGCCTGCCTCTTGATCGTTTCCCATGCTTGGGTTTCCATTCAAGTAGATAGTTAGGTAACCGATCTTCAGGCATTCTACTGACATGTCCAAACCAACGTAGCCGTTTTGTTGCTATTATGTCAGTAAGAGCAGTTATTGAAGCCCTTCTTAAAACATCTTCATTTCTTACTCGATGGAACCACCTCACTCTCAGGATTCTGCGTAAGCAGTACTGATGGAAAGACTCTAATCTTCTTGTCTGCACTTGAGTCGTGTTCCATATCTCACTTCCATAGGTCAGAATGGTAAGAACAGCTGCGATGTAGATTCGCACTTTGTTGTTAATGCTTATGTTCTTATTCTTCCAAATGTTATTGAGTTGGTTAAATTTATAGATTAAAAGTGTCAATTTGCGACGAGTCTGTTTTGGAACTCATCGAATATTCTGTGAATCGGAGGGAGTTCCCGGAAAAGGATGATGTTGAGAGAAGGAACAGGTTCTACCGTTTCGCTGCCTACAGAACATCCTTCGGGTCACTGGAGCTAAACGGACTGGGTAAAGGACGGCGCTTCAGACTACCACAATGTGTGGTGAGAGTTATCCGCAGAGCCAGAATGTACCCCAGCAAGTCAGGGAAATATGTAGGATTCAAATCACTAAACGAACAAGTTTCGGAAAAGCTAAACATATTGATATATTAAGCGGGACTGTCAACATATCTTCTATTTCATATTTGACAAAAACCCATAATCATGGGTAGAGTGGACCGCAACAGTGTCTCTCTCTCCCAAACAAAAGGAAATGATATTAATTTGAATAACCGTCCGCAAATGCAAATTGATACCGAGAATAAAATCGGTCGCTCGCTTTTCCTATTCATTCATGGCTTACGAATTGTAATAAAGTCTCAATTAATTATATCCATGACATGCTGTTAAATCTCTTTAGGATGCTTTCGGGTCGATACCTAATATTTTGGGATAAGGGTGGTAGTTAGTGTCCAATTAGCTGTTGTTTATTGAATCTTTATTGCCGAGTACAGTTGCCTTCGGGTAGTTCTTCTTAATCTACATATTACAATTGTAAATGAATGGGAAAAGCGAGCGACCGATTTCATTCTCGGTATCCATTTGCATTAGTGGACGGTTATTCAAATTAATATAATTTCCTTTTGTTTGGGAGAGAGAGACACTGTTGCGGTCCACTCTACCCATGATTATGGTTTTGGTCAAATATCATCTCTTTTTGATTATCATGTCAGGATAATTTACTAAGTCGAAATGTAAACTCATAACTTCATTAATTAAGGAGGTAATTTCAACTATTCGTCAAATAAATCAAACGATTAAATTTATAGATTAAAAGTGTCAATTTGCGACGAGTCTGTTTTGGAACTCATCGAATATTCTGTGAATCGGAGGAGTTCCCGGAAAAGGATGATGTTGAGAGAAGGAACAGGTTCTACCGTTTCGCTGCCTACAGAACATTCTTCGGGATACTGGAGCTAAACGGACTGGGTAAAGGACGGCGCTTCAGACTACCAGTACCACAATGTGTGGTGAGAGTTATCCGCAGAGCCAGAATGTACCCCAGCAAGTCAGGGAAATATGTAGGATTCAAATCACTAAACGAACAAGTTTCGGAAAAGCTAAACATATTGATATATTAAGCGGGACTGTCAACATATCTTCTATTTCATATTTGACAAAAACCCATAATCATGGGTAGAGTGGACCGCAACAGTGTCTCTCTCTCCCAAACAAAAGGAAATGATATTAATTTGAATAACCGTCCGCAAATGCAAATCGATACCGAGAATAAAATCGGTCGCTCGCTTTTCCTATTCATTCACGGCTTACGAATTGTAATAAAGTTTCAATTAATTATATCCATGACATGCTGTAAAATCTCTTTAGGATGCTTTCGGGTCGATACCTAATATTTTGGGATAAGGGTGGTAGTTAGTGACAGTGTCCAATTAGCTGTTGTTTATTGAATCTTTATTGCCGAGTACAGTTGCCTTCGGGTAGTTCTTCTTAATCTACATATTACAATTGTAAATGAATGGGAAAAGCGAGCGACCGATTTCATTCTCGGTATCCATTTGCATTAGTGGATGGTTATTCAAATTAATATAATTTCCTTTTATTTGGGAGAGAGAGACACTATTGCGGTCCACTCTACCCATGATTATGGTTTTGGTCAAATATCATCTCTTTTTGATTATCATGTCAGGATAATTTACTAAGTCGAAATGTAAACTCATAACTTCATTAATTAAGGAGGTAATTTCAACTATTCGTCAAAGAAATCAAACGATTCCATAATAAAGCATATTTTGTCAAAATGAAATGTTTTCCCAATTTTTCCCTAAATCAATGTATATTTTCACCCGCTTTTTGCCAAAATCAATGATTATAAGATTCTGAGTAGTCCACCGCTCCATTTTCACAATTTTCAGTTAGTAACACGACTTTAAAATAGTGACCCTCCCTTATAACTAAGCTAGTCCTCAGTTATAGTCATTCTCATCTCGTCAGCTGATATCTCTGAGAACTGTCCAGTACTGGTGCAGGTACAAGGCAGTCTCTTGTGTTGCCATGTCTGGGTGTAAGGAATTGTAGCCCTGAAACATTAGCCTGGGTTGAGTTATCCACTTGGGGTGGCCTATGAGGTTAAGAAGCTTATCAACAATGACATTTAATTGGAAAGATAAACGCAAATAAAGTGAATCTTTGAAAGCCAACATAATCTAATTTAACCTATGCGGTTATCAATCGTTTATCGTTGTTCCATGATTAACCACTAGCCATACAGCATGATTTACGATGTTTTTCTATGATGAGACTATCCTAACCTGTATTTGAAGAGAAGAGCCTCACACGTGACACTTTTGCCAGCCGAAGCCACACAGTTGAATGTAGCTGTCTTTGTCTTGGTCTCCGATCTCGAATTACCTGCTGAAAAGGAGTAGCTTGCCGTAATTGACGCCGTAACTTTACCCTCACCCACAAACGGTATTCCAACTGAGAACTCAGTACCAAGAGTGACGCTTGCTCCAGCTGTGTGTGTGAATGTGGCCGTTTCTTGGACTGACTCGCTCACCGTGAAGGTGGAGGATTGTGTGACTGACCCGTCTCTGTTATCTATGTGCTGGTACCCCACCCTGTCAGGCGCAAACGCCTTAACGTGCCCCCCTGTTGTGTCATATGTAACTGATTTAAACTCATAGTCATCACGGTTGATGGTTCTGGAACAGTCACACTCGATGTTATTCAAGCAATCCTGCGGGTGGACTGTGAACCACTCCCAACTATTCGCATTGGTCCTATCCACATCCACAGTGCCGTCCTTTTGTGCTGACAGATATCTGCCGTGGTACGACTGGAACGCCACTTTATCCTCGTACTGGTGCACCTTAAACCTTTCCAAGCTATATGCAGCACTCCTGTCCCACACGAGATGGTGCTTGGTAGAGGCTGAAAGGTACTTGTTCCAGGAAGACTTGAGGGAGCCGGTGTCCTTGCCATTCTGAACGAATCTGATAACTTCCAAGCTGCCATAGTTGCTCCTATCCCAGTCGACGGTATCATCCCGCTGAGCACTCAAAAACTTGCCCCACTTGTTGACCAAACCAAACGTCGAGCACTAGGACTGTCTCTCAATCTCCATTCCTTTCTTAAAGTGTACCTCCAGCCCCCCTCTCGGGTGATACCAAAGCAATCTGACCTCTGTAAGCACTGTGTCTTTGCTGTGTTGAGGTCCCTATACGCGTGTGTTCCAGAAGAATAGGTGTAGACAAACTTATTGTTGTGGGTGCACCACTTGTTAACCCCCTTACTGTCCCCTAGTGTCACAAGACACAGCAGTATTAGTACTAATAGTTTCAACATAGCTGTACTGCGAGGAGTTGCGGTTAAGTTGATTATCGCCATCAAATATGATTAATCATAATATTTTAAAAATCTAAATCTTTTCAAACAATACATAATTATACAGAAATGAATGCTTCTAAAAAACCCAGATATAAAAGGAGAAAACCAATATAGCCCAAATATCCAGTAGCCCAGTATATCGAAACCCAAATTATGTATTGAAAGACGGGTCACAAAAACACGGAAGTGTGCAGTATTGAATACCACACCCGCAATAACATTGGCTCCTTGCAAAAAAGTAATTATTATTAATCAATGAATCAAAACATATAATATTGTATTTATAGAAAATATAAAACTCTCTGAGCTAACGACTTTAAAGTTCCTGATTACGTGAACTTTGTCCGGCTCTGCTGTCCTTTTGTTGAGCAGTTGGTCGACAACTTTCTTGTAGGCTATTCTGTCTGCAGCTGATCTATCAAGAGTATTGTAAACTGAACTAAACCCCTCTACATGTCTTAGTAGCTTAGTCTTGCTCAAGATGGTACGAGCTTGATCTGAGCTTGAAAAAGTGAATTTCACTGGCCTGACTCGCTCACTTGTGTCCTTTCCAGCTCGTTTACAGCTCAAGATTTTCATTTTTCGTTGAGATGGTCCAACAAAATATACCAGATACCTTAGCATTCTAGGTTCTCCTCAGTCTCTGGGAGCCCAAAGATAATCAGACTTTTACTTCGATCTTCTTGTAGGGCAACCCTTTTCACTGCAGCTTGGATCTTCTTCGGTGCAAAGGCGTTTTTGCACGTGTTTTTCAACAGAGACGAAAAGGTCTTCATCTCTTTCTGAGCTGCAGTTTTTACAGTTCCAATCCCATTATCCTTCTTCAAAGCTAACTTCTCCTGCAAATCACTGATTTTTGCCATGTCTTTTTCTTGCCTAGAGAGCAACTTCTCTTGTAGTTCTATGATTTTAGTCGCATCTGCTATTTTTTCTTTCCTGAACATTCGGTTGTCTGTAGCTGTTTTAACGGCCGATTGTAACAATGGACCACAATAATTGTCCAGCATACAGCACACTACCTCTAACCACTCTGACAACGACTCTCTTGGCACACTTCTCTGGCTCAGCTTATCGAATCGCACTTCATCATTGTGTTCAACACTGATTTTACTTCTAATCTCTAATGTGTATCTGATCCACATATTCCTGAAGGAACTCGCCATTCTCAACCATAGTATCAACTACCATATCCAAGTGTTCACTCTGTAGCGGAAAAGGCATCGTACACGGTGTACAGAAAATGTACAAACAATGTTTTCAAATCTACAAAGCTAGAGAGAGATAGTTCAAGACGCACACAAAACTACTGATGATAATAATAATATTAGTGCAATATTACCGGTTAATAAACGACTAACACTTAAAAGTTAAAATTTATTCGAATGGACTGATTTTAAAAATTAAATTGAACCCTGACCGCCACAAACAGAGACTATGATTTGCAGCAGAGCTTTTCAAAAGCCCTTCACGTGTATTTCATTAACCATTTCGTGACAGACGTAATATATGGCTTTGATTGAATCAAATTTACCGGAAGGAGTTATCAAGTATCGGGGGGAGGGGGGGGCCAGTATCTCGATTATGTGTCCAAAATACAGGGGCCACCAAGAAATACCTTAATCTTTAGGTAAGTACAACACATCATTGCACTGCCCACTGCTAGACAACTATACAGTTTGTTGATCAGTCCTGACAAACATAGACAAAACATAACAATGTTGACAATATCTAGGTCCCAGAATCAAAACATATTAGCAATTAGGGCCGGGGTCGTTCACAATCACATAGTACGTAATCACTTTTTGGACAATTTGTACGCCCCTCCGTAATCAGTTTTACACCTAGCTATTGTGTCAAAATTACGCTAGCGTAATCATTTGAAAACCCCCTCGGCTGATTACGTAATACTAATATAAATATGTGAACGACCCCTTACAAATATTTACAAAAACCCTGCTACACAGACGGGTCACGCACAGACTCAGGAAGCGGGGCTGGCTATATCATCACCACTGACAATAATAACACCGTCACCACTCTAGAAGTCTAGAGGATAGATCATTCAAGCTCCTTGATTATTGCACTGTTTATCAAACAGAGCTCACAGCCATCATCGAAGCTTGCAAATATCTCTCAACCTATACCAACACTCATATCATCAAATGGTCAGATAGTCTCTGATCCTCTGTTTACTGGGCCGCGCTCAGCCTGTCATTCCGCCAAATCTTTATTCTGTTAATGAACATAATAGCCTGGGGTCCTCAGGTAAATCCTCTGTATTAGTATAATATAATTTTTTGTCCAATCTGGATGAAAATTCATATATGAATTCACGAGACCTGGAGACCACTAGCTACAAGCAGAGCACCTGAAACCTGGGTTTTTGACATGTTCAGGTAATTTGGCCAAATCGGACCGAATTCGGACCAAATATGGGCGCGGCTGCCCCGCGGGCATCGGTGGGTGGTTGGGGTTTAGAACCCCCTCTAAAGTTCGGTCACCGGTCTTAGTTTGTTGGTCAATTGCTATCTCAAAATCAAGTTTCACAAAAATATACCCCTTGTAATCTTAATCAAATAACCGCATCCTGGTCTATTCTATAATTCACATTAAGTTTATTTTGTCATACGTTGTATGACCCGCCGCGAACGAGTGCGCGGCTCCCCGTGTATCGTCGCGTAGAAACTCTACACTATAGTGAATGGTGAAGCGACAGTGGGGGTCACCACGTGATACAAAGTTTATTACGGTTTGTACAATTGTAGGTTTACAACCTACCATGCTGCATGCAGGACGCGCGCCGAGTTGGACTCGTCGACGGTCCCTAATATATGGAACATAAACAAATATTTTACGAGTATCAGTATCACCCGTTAAATTACGGTTTACGTTCGCTCCTAATACATAATAAATCGTTTTCCCAAATTTTAAGAAAATTCATGTGAAAAGGCTCTTTGGGTATGAAATTCATCTCTCTCGGTGTATTTCTAAACGCTGATTCCGAATCACCCCCCCCCCCCCCCATGATGCATGACGTAGGGTAAAAATGCTTCCCTGGAGAGTTATGGGCAAAAAACCGTTTTAGTCACGTGATAGGCTAGTAAAACATGAATACAATTGTTTAGGGCTCGGGTTATGGAATTAGGGTTGTCAGTTGTGATAAGGGTTATGGATAACTTCGGGGTTATGGTTAGGGTTAGGGTTGGGATGTAAAACCGTTTTGTACGGCTGCAAAACCATAAAAACCATTGTCATACGTTGTATGACCCGCCGCGCACGAGTGCGCGGCTCCCCATGTATCGTAGAAACTCTACCATCTACACTATAGTGAAGCGACAGTGCGGGTCACCACGTGATACAAAAAAACCAAAGTCACGTGATTCTTTTGGGCGAGCGAATTAGTAAAAGCCGTTTACGTTACCTATATTAAGTTGACTCGGAGGAATTCAGGATTGGAACAGAGCGGTCGCGGTAGAACTGTAAAATTGGGTATTAATATTATCAAAATATTGATTACTTTCTGGTTTCAATAAAATTATGATCTCGAATGCCAAATTGCTTCCAGGGCTTCCGCATGGGAAAAATCGTCAACAATTTTTGCCTGCGCGTGCGGCAAAAATATTTTTAATTACTGTCTGTGCAAAAGTTTAAATTGTCTGCACTATACATTTCTCAGAATATGGTTTCCTGAAAATTCCTCTACTACTAATTTGTGATAACTACGACAAATGATGCAAACTGGCCATGTTTTATTTGTGGGTTGTAAGTTCACATAGCCATGTGTATACGCGTACTGCGTGACGCGCTTGTTTCACAAGCGGTGGCGCGCTTCTGGCACGTAAGCTGCAAGCGAGAGGGCTCTGGTTAAAGCTTGTATCACGTTGCGACCCCCACGGTCGTTTCACTATGGTGGTCCTGCGCACGATACAGGTTGTAGGTTTACAACCTACCAGGACGCGCGCCGAGTTGGACTCGTCGACGGTCATGTATATATGGAACAAATATTTTACGAGTATCACCCGTTAAGATACAGGGGGAGCTGCGCACTCGTGCGCGGCGGGTCATACAACGTATGACAAGTTAGAGCAAGGTTGTAAGAGAAAGCCACTTTAAAATATTCGTTTCTAAAATTTTTGTAAGTTTAAGTACACACTGTAATAAAAATAGTCAGTGTAATCAGTTTCTCATAGCCATGTGTCTACGCGTACTGCCTTCGGCGGTCGCGCGCTACTGCAATCGAGAGGGCTCTGGTTAGAGCAAGTAATCAGTAATAAATAATTATAAGGTTAGCGGTGGCGATTAGATTTGAACATCCTTATATGTTATATGTTCATGTTATACGTTTTTGGTTTGATTGACGATGTACTTCCAGATCGTTGCTCTGCGAAGCAGAACAACGATCTTGTCGATGTGAAGCAAAAATGCTAGTTTGCGCGGCGCGTCGAAGTCCTCCAAGTTTTTGGTATATAATAATAATTGGTATAATAATAAATATAATATAAGCTGTGGGATTGTGAAAGTAAGCTATACCAGTTTGATTCACGATGTCAATCTTTCGCATCTCGCCGATCTGTGGTTGCGAGAAGCATTATTGGATGCGCGCGCGCGCGACCCAGTAGTGCATCGCGCTACAATATACCTGTGTACTTTTTATGCTGATTTCGCGAATAAAATATGTTACTCAGCATGAAAATCATTTCTTGACGAGTTATGTGTTATTATTATTATTATATGAGCAAATAACCATTTTTGTCAGACTTGACCATTGTTAATGATTTGACCCAGCGCGCGCTACTTCGTAGCACTTGCCATCGGACCAATATTTCGAGAAGAAAGCGCCGCGCTACTTCGAAGAAATTTAGACGAGTAACATCGGCCGTCAATTTCAGACGCGCGCACGTGACGGGCTTGTAAAATGTAAAACAATATTTCAGCTGAATGATTTAGGAGTCAATTTTGGTTTTAAAGTAATATAATTGTGAAGATAGTATACAAATTTAAAGTAAAGTACAGAATTTACGGTCCAAATCTTGTAGGTGTAACTTTAAAACCTACTAGGACGCGCGCCGAGTTGGACAAATATTTTACGAGTATCACCTTACTCTGTATTCGGTACTGGTAGTTCTCTCATTTGAGCAGAGTTTTTCTTTTTAATGCAATGAAACAATATTTTTGCTATTAAAGATTTCTATAAACTATAATTAATACTATTAGTTATAACTACAAAATAGGTTGACAAATCGGTGGTTTTCCATTTAAGCTTTTAAAGAATTCAGGAAAAAGAGTAAACAAATTCTCACACATTTAATTCCGACATGGAATTCACCACGAAACAAAAACATACAAACACTACCTCCGTATCTCATATCTGGTATCATTTTCCATTCTTAAGATGATTTTTCGCAAAACGTTTGACATTAAATTAAGAGTTTTACTAACGAAAGTAAAATATTCATTATTCCAGCTAACAGTAATAGATTTTACTGCTATTTCAAATTATTGCTAAATTTAATTAATGGTATATCGTATTTGCTACAAAAGGGATATATAAATTTAAATAGTTGGTAAAACCACGGGGCACGGTAACAATTCTCCTTATTCGTAGTCAAGCTTCCCAAGTTTACATTATTCACAAGAAATTGTACGAATTGTACGCGATGATAGATTGGGTAGAATATAGTAAAATATTATAACTATTTCTGACCTTAAAATTATTGAAATAATGTTTTAAACAAGCCACTGACAAAGAATTTTGTTTAAAATTATAAATAGCATCTATCTTCGAGCATTCAGTCTCAACCCATATAGTAATATTGTATAAATTTAAGCTGATAGGGTTAATAGTATACAGGTATCAGCTGTAGAACTATCAACCAATTAAAAACTAATAAATTATGACTAAATATTGAGCTTTAGAACAAGCTTGTGATTTGAAATTTTGTTATCACTCAGAAATTCTAAAACATGGGTGATTTATACCATGAAAAGAACATCAATACAAAATGCAAATTTCACAACGAAAAATTGTTAAATTAGGGAGGGTCCCTGTTTACAAAGATTGATCCTAATTGAAATCTAGATCGTATATTGTCACGTCGTCGTGATCTTCCAAGGAAGAGGATGCGGAAAGTAGAACTCGTCTAGATGTAAAGAGGATGCCAGCCTCTGTTGGTGAGTTTCTTCCGGCACTGAGGACACTGTCTGGTGGACTTGAAGACTTGTTCGATACAGTAGCTGCAGAACACGTGACCACATGTCGTCGACACCAGGGTTCTACTTGAAGCTTGGATCTGAAGAGGAGCGTCAGTCAAACTTAACGGATGATTATATTATATGAACTCTAAATGTTAAAGATAACATTACTTACTAATGATACTTAACTTATCTAAGTGACGCGAGATGAACATTGAACACCCCAATAATGCTATGATATGATAAGAGATCTCAGATCAGTGTTCACAAACTGATTGTCTGTCTGTCTGACAAATTACCTGAGCTTTACTATCGAGACAGACAGGGCAGGTGAGTGGGTTAGGATCGTTGTCCACCACATTTGGTACAGTCAGAGGCAGGTTAGCTAGCGAGGGACCAGCAGGAGCAGGAGGGGGCCCAGCTGTCTGGAGGGTGGCAAGGTGGTGTCTCGGGTCGGGGTGTCGCGGTCGGTGGACCGGGTTCAACCCATGAAACGGGTGCCCCGGGTAGACAGCCCTGAGAATTAGTGGTATTGGTACCAGGTACATTATACATAATATTATATATTAATATTAGTATATATTTGTGGTATTGCCAGTTTTTAAGCTTGAAGGAATAGCACTAGAGTAGTAGAGTTAGGCGGTAATGTGCATTTTGCATGTACTTGGGAGCTTCCTAGTCCCCGCCAGAACCATTTCTTTACATTTTCAGGACCCCGTGTAAATTATAAAACATAAAGTGCCCAACGATCTATCAACGAGCAAATTTTTGTTCAAATAGGGCATTATAGATATGTCCAAAATGGGCATTTTGGATTTAACAACAAAAATCGAGAAATAGTCACCAAAAATCAAGCTTTTTAAAATTTTGCGAACTCATAGAAAATCTCAAGAAAAATTCACGACCACTTGTACGAGAGTCTACCTCTAAAAAAGATTTTGCAAAACAAAGTGCCCGTTTCGGGCAGGTCTATATCGCCCGGTTTGAACGAAATTTTTTTGGGAGTGCTACTTTCATTACATATACCTTCGATAATCTGTTGATAAATTGGTGTTTTAAAATTTACATGGGTCCTTATTCCTTAAGAGCCAAAAGTAAAGTGCTGGGAATGGTACCACAGCGTACGAAAACAGAGAAACATATCTGAATAAATACTGTACCTGTTAGGTCTATTATCAGTGATAACAGGGCCAGGGTTTTGCGGAGGCGCGGCTCTAACAGGGGCGGGAGGAGGAGCTACTCGGGCCGGCGCACCGGGGGCAGCAGGGGCTCGTATCCCTGGACTATTGACTTGTCCTCCTGCAGCGATAGCTAGTGCACCAAACCTGCAGGTGGAGACGGCTGGTTAACTTTCTGCAAGATCTTTATTATTTTCTAAATATAGCTTGTTAAGTGCGGTTCAGTTTACACCAGTATTCGATAGGTGCCATAAATTTAGCGATTTTAAAATGATATAAGTTTAAAGTTTTTGTGCTTTGGAATGAAAATTAACGATTATTATGCAGGCATGTTGCAAGGCCGATAAATATAAATCTATCGGACTGACTAATGACATCACACATCCTCCATATCCCGTTTGAGTTTGTCTTAAAACTTTTTGTAATTATCAGTGACATTTACCGAATCTTTTATTAGTAGTACTATAGCACAGTAACTGTAAAGGTTCTCTATGATAATAGCATCAGGTTAGGCGGATATACCACTAACACATATATTATTATTATTGTTCTGTATCGTATAGTGCTGTAACTCCAGTCCTGAATGGTGGTACCTACCCTACCGGAAGTGTTTCTATAAATATGACATCACACAATCGATAAAGAGTTCTCGACTCCATGTCCAACAACTCCACAGACAACAGGATATTAATCTCTCTGCAGCGCACACTTTATATATAGAGCAAGTATGTACACTGCTCACTCCACCACTCCCAACCAAGTTTACTCGGTCACGTGAAGGAAATAACTTTGCGGAGGGGTCACGTGTTAAGCAGGAAGGGACCAATGGCAGAGGAGGATGGCGTACACCACCGCCATCCAATGATTGTAGAACCCAAGTGTTGCACAGATGTGGTTAGTCGTTGGTACGAGGTGGACACAATGTAGCTTACACTTTGACAGCTACTTTTTACACGCACTTCTTGTCCCCAATACTTGTCAATAGTACCAGTAATTAATGCTGCTGTAGAGAGTTGTCTTGTGTTAATTTGTGTTCCATATTTTTGGACATGATTTTTTCTGCCAAACCTTTCTCGACTGATAGATTTCTGGCTCAAAGTTCTGTTTAAGTTCGATCTAAATAATTCTATTTATAGCTCCTGTCGGAATTTGAATTAGTATAGGTCGGGATGCCATCACTTTATGGACGATATACTTTAAATAACATATTTTTCTGGTAGGAGGAGCGGCCACAAGGCGTGTTACAAGGACAGCAGCACAACATCATGGCAGGTCAGTGATTAATGATAAAATTGTAGTTTTTGTTTTTTAATGTATTGTACGTAACACTGAGTTTATCTACTGTTATTTGCGCTGATGGTTATTAATTGTGCCTTTTATTCTGTACAGAATCTTAGTTAACAGAATCTTAGTTTAAGGCTTTAAAATTACAGACATCGGAAGACGCACCCTTTTAAGTATTTCGTTGTTCTGCAGAACAATTTTTTGAACGCCAGACAGAAATGCATTATAATGTATATTGTATGTCCGGTATATTTAGCCAGTAATCGTATGAGTCAAAATACACTTACACATCATGCTAACTCCATACCTCATTGAACGTACGAAGAGGCCCTCCTCCCCTACAATAATCTGTACAAGTACAGATCAGGACAACTCCTCTGGATCTGTACGGACTACGGGATGAAACATTCAAGTTCTCAGAGGGTATCATTTACTCTCCTCCAGAAGTTCATTATCCAAATGTAATGAACTCAACTATTTGCTACACCGTGCTGAGTTATGAAAGAAATGATTCCAGATCTCATAGAATTAGAAACAAATTAAGAGACAGCTAGATTCCTCTCCTCTTCTATTTGAAGGCAGTATTATTGAGTATTGAATTGGTGTCTATGCTGATTATACAGGAGAATTATAAACAGGACGTATGTTGTGAGTTGGAAGCCCGTATAAAAGTCTGGTCTCATTCCCAGCTATAATTTCATTTCATCTGCCAGGAAGCTATCAGAGTTATAATTCACACCTTTCATTCGATTTGTTGCTCGCAGTTCAATCTACTGGACAGTGGTTTACACGACATGGTCCCCGATATTCTGATTACTAAGTCATAACGCTATTTATTTTCATTATTCTCGTATCCGTCTGCAAGTTAGATCGGTTTATCGGGTTAGATTAGGCCTCTAAACAGTGATATCATCACCAGGGTTGTTTTTAGACGTCAATTATTGGATATTCAACAAATAACGCCCATGAAAATTTATGCTATTCCGGAAATAGACGGAGACCCATGTCTTTTTATAGTATTGAAGATTTCAGGCAAGTTATTAGCGGATGTTACGTTAGAAGAATAACTCTCAGGTTTAGTTCTAGACGTTAAATCAACATTCTATGAGTTCAATTACAAATTCCTATACTTAAACTAATCGAGTACACTCATGTTACACAATTTCTTTTCTAGTCATGATTTTAAGTGATTTAGTACGTTTAATTTGCCACTTTTAGTTGACTTATTTTGAGCTGACGTGATTTTTTGTATTGCCGGTATAGCTGCAACACTAAACAGGATGATCTAGTATCAGATCTTATCTACAAGCCTGATAGTCAGAAATAACTCTTAGTTAGCTTACACAAGACGTGCTTTTCAAGACGGTCACATCGTTATAAAAACCACCCACTTTACTCCACTTCCGCCACCAAACAAGATGTAACACCAAATATGGGCATGGACTGTCACGTGATCCGCAACCACCATCACAAGATCGAAACGTGCTTTGAAAACAACGTGATGTTTGCAAGTGTGATTGCGAGCAGTGGCGGGGCGGCTGCTATATTTGCATATAATACACAAGGATATGAGCAGGGCACGTCGGTTTTATATTTAGTTCACATTGTGTTGATGAGTTATTTAGACTAGCAGACAGTTTATTGTTTAGTTAACCTGCTGCACTGACTCTCAGACCATTCTATTAAACTGCATCTACACTTTATTAAACTACATTGTAGACTTATAGAGCTTTATTTTCTGAGTATACAATTGTGGCCAGCTTTTCTCGAGCTTGGTATAATATCTTGACCGAGATCTATTGTTACCCTCTCAGAAAATGATTAGTCACCTTGTTGACCCCGTACTTCAAGCGCTATTGGTTGTTTTATTAAGATCACTTTTGTTGTTAGCCCAGGTAGTTATATTGACAGGATAAGAACATTCTTCCATGAACTATTAAAATAGCCATGATTTGAGTTACAGTTGTCTTTCTCCTTAAGCATGTGGAAGTCCCACAATGTTCCTAAACTATTTCCAGAATTTGGCATAAAAATGGCATGAAGTTGTTTTATCCGGGCATTCTTTTCTTGAGATACCCGTCAACTTTGGAGCATACCAGAGAAGAGAGACCTACAGTAACACATATAATCAATAACCGTACGAATCTTTGATGAGTTGTTGATTGCCTATTTGCTGTATCGTTGTGACAGAAATATCTGTTCATTCCTTAGAAATTAGCAGAACCACTCGTCACTAATCAATCGTTCCTAATTTGTTATGAGATAATTCGGGCAATTAATTAAAATGGTAAGTTTCTCGCAGCCAATACCCGACAACAGTGACAAGCGCGGTAAAATGGAGAAGGTTACGTCAAATCTTAATTACAGGCTAATTGTCCTGAGCAGCAAAATCTATTCCTGATAACGATTATGACATAACAAAAATTATGCACCTCTCCGCAACAATGCCTGCACTCTGCGCAGCAGCCCCCATTGAGAGTGAAATCATACCTTGTTTCCCGCCCAACGTCTCATTAACCACCATGATATTAATGAAAAAGCAGCAGTCTTGTGTCATGACTGTCATGTGGCGGCCGTGTTTCAGAGCGACCTGTCCTTGCTGCTCTGGAAGGTGCAGTTAAAAATACCACGACAAGCTTTTCCGGCTTGCAGAGCACCGCTGCACTGCTGCAGCAATGTGGTGGAATTGCACAAATCAAGCAATTTAGGAGGGATATATTTAGACTCTTCTTAATGAACTGAGCTCTGCCGAAATTCTCGTCAACCTGTTATCGTTTTGAGAGCAGCTCACATTCGTCCTGTTTTTTTCATTCAGAAATCTGGAAGTTAGTTATTTTTCAAATTTTTAAGGCAGATGGTTCTTATGACATGGGTTGAGAATAAAACTTATTATTAACGGTACACACTTGATTTTGCCACTATTAATTGCTACATCCGTAGTTAAGACTGGCAGTTCAGCGCACAGCCATACAAGTACAATTATGCCCTATTTTGGTGCCGGGATAGTCGATTTAAGTAAATCAAAATGTATCCATATTCGTTTGAAGTCTCTTTCAAAATCGATCGTAGCTCTGTATCATAGAAAGTCTAAATATAAGACAGAGATTTTCAAACAAAAGTTTCACCGCGATTATCTGCCAGGAATTAAGATATGACGCACAAGTCTCACTAGATAGAATGCTATCTTTTACTTCAGATGTAAAGTGAGATACAGTAGTATCACTGAACCTAAGTTAAGCTAGCTATATCTTAATAAACTAGGATGGGTATACGCTGTCACCCCAAACCTCACGTGTATTAGCGCACGTGAACTTTGGGACATACAGGCATCATGCCTGAGACATGTGCCTGGATTTTATGAAAACTTATAGGCTGCACCTTAAATACCTGCCTAGTACAGAGGGCATATTTCTTATTTTGTTCAACAAACCCCATTTGGCCATTCTGCCAGACCAACAGCAAGGAGAACGTTGAGTGTTAATCTTCTCCGGGAGGTTAATTTAATTACCACCTGATTGATGGGGTATATATAAACTGTAAAGTGTAAACCCTGTCGTCGCTCACAGCTTAGCAGGACGCTAACTCAGGTGTGTTTCGGAGAGTTTTTAATTGGCAGCCTGCTGGGAGGCAGCCAGTTTAAGAAACTATTATCATGATGTCACGAGGCGTCTCCCCGGGTACCCCCTGAAGAATAGTGTGCCATTTGGTTGATACCCTTGAAATCAGGCATAGTTTCCTTACGTCACGGCTTGTTATGGTATTACCAAGAGCGCAGCGGTTTAACTACTACTAGAGGTGTTGCTGTCTCAGTTGGTTAACTTTGTGCTGCTTTAAATGTCCTACACGTGCCAGATAGAGATCCAGCCAGGAGATAGAGTTAAAGTTATCGGAGCTTAACCTTGTTTCATCTTGCCCTTGAGAGATCCCCCATAAAATATGCTCATATAGTGCGAGTTTACCAATGTGATAATGCAAATAATAATCCAAATCTAAATAAAGATAGTTTGGTGACGATTACGGCGGCGAGGTGTCATTATATCAGCAGTGGGGTAAAGTGGCCCTTGAAGGGTCCTAACACCCTATTATCACATAGTTTAGGTGCTGGTCTTGTTAATGGAGATTTAATCTACTGATCAAACAGATAATTATATTTCAGACTTTCCGTCCGTTCAGTCTGATCTCTGGTTTATTCTGTTAAAGGCATGAGTTATGAGTGTCACTGTCTCGCCTGTCACTACTGTTTTCATTACGTGATTGATCATCTTCTCGCTTCTGACCGATCATGATATTGGCATAATTTTACTAACCTTTTACGTTTGTTTGCAGCCCGAATGCTTACAGTTATATTTTCCCTCAATCTACACCCCTTTTTTATCTTAACCGGACATATTACTCTAGAAACAATCATGCTGATTCGGGGCCTGACGATGTTGGTGATGGCCAGTTTGAGTCTGGTGGGTAACGTGAGTGTTATCGTAGCTACCCTCTCCTCTCCTTTCCTCCATACCCCCTCTCACGTGTTAGTGGCATTCCTTTGCTTCTTTCACCTGCTCAGTGCTGCTCTCAGCATGATTCCTATTGGTATTTCCTGTCTTACTGAACGCTGGATCGGGGGAGGTAACTCACTATTTTATATATTACTTTTGTGAATATGAGCTCATGATTCTGTCTAAAATGTTAGATATTCCCGGAAAATTTCGACATTCAACAATCGTGATTCGTGATGCATATTATTTGAGATATTTATCAATGGAAATTTCAGATTCGGACGGGTTTTTCTGCGAGATGTTTGGAGTAACAGTGATCCTGCTCACCATCATCCCCTTCAACCTCCTAGTGGTAATCTCCATAGACAAGTTCACAGCTGTAAAGTACCCCCTCCAGTACAACCGGATCGTTACTAAGAAAACAGTGTTTGGTATGATAGTGTCCTGCATCGTGCTGCCTCTACTCGGTCTGGTTCCCATCCAGAAGATCCTGATAGATTCCAGCCGGATGTATACCATGTTCTACCCTCCCTACGGTTCCTGTCAGCTGGTCATAGCCTCCGCTGATTGTGTCCTCTGCTACGTTCTCTACGGCATATTCTTCGCGTTCCAGGTCCTCCCACTCCTAGCTATCATCGTCTTCTACTCCTTGATATTTGTGGAGGTGAAGAAGCAGGTGAAGAACGCACGAGCTCAGAGTCTGGATAAGAAGAACATGCTGGATTGCCACAAAGCCACGGTGACAATCTTCCTCCTGGTGTTAACCTACGTACTGACATGGTTACCCGAGTGGACCCTGGACTTCCTAGCGTTTCTGGGAGTAGGAAGGGAGAACACGGTGTTATACAACTTGCAGATAGCATCTAGGTGGATATTCTTCCTTAGCCCTGTAGCTGACCCCTTCATATACGCACTACGTCATAATAAGGTGGGTAAATTATACGGCACAGTTAATGATACTAGGCATGGTGCCGTGTAAGTTCTGCTCCTTTCTGGTTAGGTCTTTCCTTAATATCAGATACCTTAGTGAAACATTATCCCAGCTCTTCCCTTTTTGATCGGGATAGCAACATTATCCTTAACCTTCACACTGACCTCAGGTACAACAAGAACTAAAGAGACTGTTGTGTCCAGCACCTCAAACTATTAATAAACCAGATAGCAAGTCGTGGGACGTTCCCTTCACCAACATCCGCAAACTATTTACTTACCAGCAATTACCTAGCTATAACAGCGATATCAGTAACAACCATGGTCAGTTTATATATAAACTTTAGTTTATATATCACTTCTTGTTGATGGTTTTGGATTTTAATTGTTGCGGCAAAAATTTAACGATGATGTCAATTAATAATTTAATTAGTTGATTCATTAGTAAATTTTCAACAGAATTTTTGTCGCATATGAGCTGGTAGTGAATAATGTGTTTTCTCTGAAACGACTCAACGGTGGTCCTGTAAAAGTAACTGAGATTTAATTAAAAAAGTCATGAGTCCCTGCAATTACTTGATAAGAGAATCTAAACTCATTCCAGTTAGGGAGGGTTCAGTAAATATTCCAAAAATGGGATGTATGGCTTGGTGCCCTTGACTAACCGCCGACTAAATATAGCGAACTTCTAACTACCGATCAGGAAACCAGCTAATTCAGGCTCTCCTCTACTAGATCTCAACAACTATCCGATAGCGAGACTATAGGTGGGGCTGGTCTTAATGTCTTTACGAAGCAATGCACATTCAACGAGATATGTTGTCTGGGAGCTAATGTTTTCTTTTCAGTTCACCATGGTACGAGAACGAGCAGTATAACGAACAGTGAGGGTAGCAAGAGACCTAGTCTGGGTGATTTCAGCCTTCATCTCGTCAAGAACAACGTTAACTGCGTGCCAGAGACCATCGTATAAACGCCATCCTTCATTATCCATCGGAATTGTGTCGGCACAGCGATTTTTCGGAATAAATCGATGTTTGAACACAAGGAAATGTTTTTTGGAGGGAGTCTAACAATTTGTGGCCCCATGTTTCAATAGTTAGAACTCTTGCTGAGCGGTGCGCTTAATTCGTAATTTTTATCCTTGCTACAATTTCAGACTTTTTATGATTTGAGATTACGCATTGTAATTAGAATTAGTATGTACGAAATAATATATAAACAACGAACCAACTAATTATCATTTAACATGAACTTAATGACCTAACTAATTGCAATTGCATGCTGCTAATTAGCGAGATAACTTAAAGTTAAATAAAATTATGTCAGTCCGAATTTATATGTTTTTTCTGATTCGACTAGATCTAGTAATTGACTACTGTTTATTGATTAACATGGTTGCTCGTTTGTCGTTCGTGGAGTGCGCGTGGAGTGCGCACCTCCTAACAGAACTCACTACGCCATATGGTCAAGTGAAATCTTTATTTATATAACTATGTGCAATATTATCAGAGCATGATACCTTGTTGGTGCATGACCCTGAATAAATATAACGGTCACGGAGCGTCCACAGAACCAAACTTAAGCAGTTTCTGTTTATTTCTATTTATTTGAAATTCCATATTATTAACTGATAACAATTTATTATTTTAAGTTTTTAAATCATCTCAAATACGAAACAGGTTTTTTCAATTGCTCTTAAAACTCAAGATTATGTGTGAGGATACGGAAAAAGGAAGCTTTATTGGCAATCCAAATTTGAATCCGCATAATGCACATAAGTTGCACTCCAGTTCCGCAGTCGGATTCAAATTGATAGGTTTTACTTAATATGTGGCCAGCAACACCTTCCTTTCTAAAACATCACTATATGATTATAAATTATATAATAATTATGAAATGTCAGATTAGTCTAAACTCAAACAAACTAGTAATATGGCTTCCAAAAAAATCTCATAAAACACGCCTATGAATTGTTGAGGATGATATATTGTACTTCAATTAATCATGAAGTACCTAGGCCCGTCGGGCTCAATACAACAGACCTTGCATTATTATTCATTATATTTGGCAACAAATAATATCCACACTTCCCTGTTACAGTGTTAATGTAATTAACTCATAATATCTCAAAGGAGCACACCTTTATAATAACTTCAATTGTATGCTCGATATGTCCTTTTGCCGCCTTACTTTGCCTAAAACACAAAATCTATTTACATTTTACATTTTATGTCTACACAGTACACGTAAATAAAACAAGAAATTCGAAGAAGTTGGTGAACTCTGTTTCACGAAATTGTTGATAACTTGAAGTGAAGAAACATATTGAAAGCCATGAATACGAATCAGAGATTGCGATCACCACGACTTGAGACCATTTGCGACCCAGTGGCTTTGATAAAAATAGACATATACATGTACATAAGGCCGATTTCGCGATGGTTATCATTCATGGTAAAAACATTTAAAAATGTTATTCACGTAATCAAGATTATTGTTGCAGCTTTCCCGTTTTCTACAATTACTTCTGAAACATGCTACTGATTTGACTACGATCAGAGTGGTAGCAATTCGCGTATCTCCAAACTTTTTTCAGCATATTTTCGCATACTTCATGCCTATGGGTTATGTTGAGCATGAAAATCAGCCTTCGTATCGATTACTTTTAAAGATTTCCAGAAATTTTGCAACTCTGTTCTATAGCGACGAAGTTGAGAATTTTTGGCTCGGCCTAAGGACATAGGCTGAGCCTGAACCATACAGGAGAGGATTTCAGAGACAAATTATTATATAATATCTATTTTATTTTCATAATTTCTAATTAATTACGGTTGTGTAATATCAGGATAGGAACATTATTTATTAGTCACATTATTGTGATGTTTCTGATGAAAATTTCTGATGATTCTGTGTATTGCGATAAAGGAAAAATGCTCTCAAATTATTTGTTATATAAAAGTGTTGAAAGTATTAAAACTTTTAATATTTCAACACTACTATATAACAACTAATTTGAGAGCATTTTCCCTTTGTCGCAGTACACCGAATCATCAGAAATTTTCATCAGAAGCAATCACGTTTGTCTAGTACCAGATATCATATTCATTGCGTTGATCCTTGCCCGCTTGTTGACTGTGATGGTGTTTTTCATAATATAAAACCAGCACCTATCCGATTGCAATTAACTCATGAAGCATGGGGAAATACTGAGTTTCAGTTTCTTCACCCAAAACTAGCTTATCTTAGCTTATCTAGCTTATCTTATTAGTACCTTTCCTCTCGCAAATTTTTGGTGGGAATCAGACCTAAAAAATTTATAGTTTGATTAACGGCCAGGTAGCGCAGTTGGTTAGAACACCAGTCTTACAATCGTTAGGTTGCGAGTTCGAATCCCACTGTCTGCCTGGTCGTGGGGTGAGCGTCGTCGACGTTCAGCTAAGGATTGTAAGTGGTCTATGCAGCCCCCCGGTCTACTCAGCCGAATACTCGAGAAATCGGGTGTGAGGGTTAAATGAGGAGCTGCACATTGCAGCAAAGTCTCGGGCGAAGAAAGTATGGTACACACTACCTTAACCGTCACTGGCCAAATAAATCCTTCGGCTTCCTGTAATTGGCTGGTTGCACTTGTGTAATGTGGCTGTTGGAATACACCGAAGTAAAATAAGTGTCTTGATAAAAAAAAAAAGCACTAAGTTGTAGCGATAGTACAACGACTGGTATGATACCAGGCAGGAAGCATATTGTGTAATTACATCACCGTGTTCACCATCGCACCTCCCCTTCCTACCGTGTGAAGTGTTTCACATTGTTTTCTTTTTCTCACGATTAGAAGAGGAAATTGCTCTAAATCTATTCATGTTCATATCTTTGAACAATTAAACAGCAGTAACAGGATAATTATCTATTATAAGCGGCTGAATTAAGATTTTCAGTATTTCGTTTTATTTGGCAGATTTAAGTTGGTGATGCATCGCCAACATCATGATGTGTTACAAACATCTCTTCGTTTAATCCAGCCATATATTGTCCACACTATTCTTATCTGAACTGTATGCTGGTTGTCTGGATTGGCACAGAAAATGTTCATTGCAATGTTAATTGTACAGAAACAGTGCAGAAACAATAACATCTTGTTCTAATGGATCCAAGAGCTATTTGCAGCTTTACAATCGGCACTGGCATTTATTTTACACTTTTGTTTGTGAATTCATTTACCGTCTCTACATAATTAATATACACTGTCTGTCTTCTTGCAAATATCTGGCTTCACAGTTCAGCGATCTATTTTTCGGTTGTCAGATATAGCTTTATCATGTCCATTTCTCTTTATCACAAACCAAATTCCTTCGCGTTTCAATAAAAATCACATTTTCAATTTCAATTCAGTTTCAAAACTCAAAATAGCTACACGTACAATTAACATCATGACCTAAAAGATATATTTATCCGTTTTACCACCCTAGAAACAACACTTCCTCCTGATGTAGCACTGTATAATTGTGGTAATTGGAAGCACCACCCCACCATTCCGCCAGACTCGGCAGATTTGCTATTATTGTGCGGACGGGGATAACTCGCCGAGTTCGTTTTAATTGATTGACTTCTTCTGATTGGCATTTTCTGTTTTTTAATCTATTTCTAACTGTTGTTGGCTTCGTTGTAATATGCAGCATATTTTTAAAGCTCGTTGCATATTGGTGCCGATGAAGCTTGATATCTAGACTTAGAAGATGAACTTGCATTTGTAGGACTCACTATGAGCAACCAAGTTGTGACAATGACATTAGAAACATTCATGTAAGATTGGAGAGGCCATTACCCCGATCGTAAAGATTTGATTAAATGAACCCTGAAATTGTGGGACATCGAAACTCATCAACGAATATTTAATATAGTTTCAGACAGTTAAACTTCATATCTCATATCATATCATGTTGTCTGTTCATATAAAATATCATGCTAAAGGATACCAGTTGGTGCAGAATGCAACTGCACGTGCTAAAGGTAGCCCAGTTCGTGCATGGTGGCATTGCACGTGTCTTCAAGCTCGCGGCGAACCTCATCAGTTATATTGCCTCTCCAATCCTTCTTAGTGGTAAAACTAGTCGTATCGTACAACAGTTTAATCTTATCATAGATATCGCCAGGATTCTTTAAGTCCAAAAACTTGGTTATTTTCTCCGCTTCGCTGAAAGGATTCTGCTGAATGTCCTCAAACTTAACCCTAAGAAAAGAGCCATGATGAGATATCAGAAGCCGCTCTGACAGCCCCCAATTTATTTCATAGAACTGACAGAGCCTCTTCAAGTCACCACAAAGTCCAGGCAAACACCAGAAGTTGACCCTGCTGTTGTTGACCCTGCTGTACCACACCGCCCGAGGGTCACGTGTCAACCAGATGACCTTGAAGTTGGAGTAATCGTCCAGGTAGTGGGCCACCTGTGCCAGAGATATTCTCACGTACTTTACAATCTGTATCGGGTACTTCCGACACTGTTCTGCCATGAAGGTCTGATTGAGACAGGGGCTGGTTTGTCTTCCACGTCCTTTACACGAGCTGGGTAGTTTGTTGTTTTCTCTAAGGTATGCTCTCCGGAAGTACATACCCCGGAGGTATTGGTCATCAACATTCTCGTAGTCACATGACAGGAGCTTGTCAGTGATGCTAGCTACGTGTTCGGTAACATCAGGGTCAGTGAGGGATGCAGTAAAGTGACTGTCTAGAGGTTCATAGTGGAGGAATGCTTCCTTTGGAGAGGAGACAATGCCAGAGAAGGTGGTGGATCCACTTCTCCATGTACTAACGATCAGAATGTTTTTTTGTGTCCACGAACCAAAGTAAGGCGCTGATCCAGGTATTGAATCGTTTGAAAATTGAGCTGTCTTATACCTAGATTCTGATGAAAACTTTGCTCTATTTGAGTCATTATTGGAATCTTCTGCTGGCGCTAGCGGGTCTGATGAAGGACCTGGAGTCTTCAGCTGATCATAGTTTGGCTCTTCCGATGGTTCTAGCCGGGCGTCTGCGAACTTTGGAGTGTCTTGAGCCTTGATATGATCCATCGAATCGAATTGAACGGTGGGGTCAGAAGAAATATCCATGCCTTGGAGTATTCTGATATCATTGTTGACGAGTTTGGGGGATTGCAGGAAATAGACGAGAATTAGCAGCAAACTTATCAGAATAGCTAAAAGCCGAGTGTACGTTTTACAAACAGATGAAGAGCGCATGGTCACTAGAATGGTTGCATGTTTGACAGTACATCCGTGTTATTATTATACTCCATGTTTGATGGGACACGGCCGGAACAACGTGATTGAGCCTAGTTGGACGAACGTTTATTCGAGTTAAGTGTATTCAGTTATTATTAATATATATGAAGAAGTTAGCTCCTGAAGCACAGAATTTAACCGCCACTTTTTAGAATGTAGTATTGCTGAGTGCCGACGAGGAAAAATTGAAACAACCTTCTTTTTACAACCTGTCAATACTCAATTAATACTAATATCATGTTAATTTGATAAGTTTATAGTCTGATCACATTGTCTATCCGTTGAGATCACTTCGTACGTTTTGTATGTGCTTATCAAGATTTACGGTATGAATTTGTATGATAATTTTGACTTTGGTATCGACTAAAATGTGTAAACCTACCATGCAACCGTATTATAACCACAATATAAGCTCCCAAGTTTACATAACAGTGCATTTAAACAATGACATATAAACGAGCCAGTAATGAATTACAATTGAAGTAATTCATATAACTATAGTTTATAGATGTACTACCACAACTTCCTTATACTTGACTCCAGATAGTAGAATTGTTTGTTATATTATATATTGTTAACTATGACAGTAGCAGTTTTGTAGTGCTTTTCATAACTATAAGTATAGGTTTTGCATGTGAGAAACCAGCGTCTAACCCCAGATATAGAGAGTTATTTTGTTGTTAGTAACTTGCTGTGTTTTCAGACCACTTCAGTCCATATTATCTCATTTTTATGTGCTGCAGTTCAAAAATAAACGTTAATTACAGCAGTGGTTTTACTTAGACAAGATGTAAATTGTCGTTAATTTTTCAATTATATGACTTCATTCAGAGCTAGTTATTAACTATAATTCTAACGTTTGCAGCATTAATTCTATGTCGCGACGCGTTTGTGATCAGAGATTGTGTCCTATAAGTCATGTTCCTGTGCTTCTCTAACACTACCTCCAATGACACTATCCTTGCTCAAGGTAAGAGAGTGACAGTTTTTACAAAGCTGGCTTTTATTTGTTCACGGGATACATTTTATTATTCCTTGTTTGTGTCTACACCAAAGTTGTAAGAACAAGTATTTGATCTTTATACATGCGAGCTTATATTAAGACATGTAAACCAACCTTATTGGGCTAGAAACCTAAATTGTTTTGATGTACTTCCCTCTCCGCCGACAAAGATACAGTTTAGCAGAAAGAATCTATATATATAAATTATTATACAACTTTCCTTAAAACTCTCTCTAAATCTTGTGTAACGATATCTTATTCCAGGAGTATTCTACGGCGTGTCGTCCTTGTTTGCTATATTTGGTAACCTGCTAGTCGTCATAGTAACAGTCCGAGTAACTCAGCTTCACTCTACCTCCAACATTCTCATAGGACTGTTATGTCTGGTGGACCTACTCTACGCTGTGTGCCACGGAGTCTGGGTCTCAGTAGCTTCACTTCTACTCTACTGGCCCTGGCCAGGGGGAGGCGATGGAGCCTTCTGTAAAACCTCCAGCTACGCAAGCGTCCTGTGGACAGGGATCCTTTTCATGCTGTTAGCTGCCATCAGCATTGATAAGCTGGTAGCGATAGCGTACCCTCTGAAGTACAGGAAGCTGATGAACAGGCGGATGGTGGGGGTGATGTTTAGTGTGTCAGTGCTGACTCCCATTCTTCTGATCACCACTCCCCTGGGAATACTCGATATGCAGGGTAACCTAGCTCACAAGTTCTACACAGCGTACGGGCAGTGCACGCTCTTCTTCAAGATGGCAGACACGGACAGTGACCACGAGTTTGTGGAGGTCCACGAGTTTCCCATCATCCTGGTGCCTTACATCCTGTGGTCCTTGACTCAGATAGTTCCCTTGGTAACTATTATAGCGTGTTATTCTAGAATATTCTACGAGGTCCGCCAACAAGTCAGGAATACTAGGAGACACAGCATTCAAGGAAGGGGCGTTCTCAGGTCTTATAAAGCAGTGACCACTATATTTCTTATAATAGTGACATTCGTGGTCACGTGGATCCCTGAATTTTTGGTAGATATTTTCATTATGCTGCACATCATAGAGCCCAAGGACGAGTCACCTCTGACATTCGCAATCACTGTGGTGACACGATGGTTGTACTACCTTTCTCCTACCCTGGACCCCTTTATCTACGCTCTCCGACACAAACGACTACAGAGTGCCATAAAACAAACATTCTGTATCCCTAAATACCGGGGGGAGTACTATTACTCCAACAGTGACGTGGTCTCCCGGGCTCTAAGACGCTTCTCCACTGCCGTACACCAGAGTGTAAACTCAGAGAGAATACAGAGACATTCCACAAGAATTCTAGACAATGTGTCAGGTAGTGTGACATCCTTAGGGTCCCTTCTCTCTACCCATATACAGTCACATGTTGATATCATCATAGAGACTGCCAGCACTGCGACCCCTAAATTTCTAAGACGAAGACCCGCGAGTGCTCCGATAGAGTTAGACCATCCACTGTCACTCATCCAGTCCCGACCGAGGTCCTGGATGAACGCCAGGAAGACTTCCAGAAAAGTATCTGTTGTCCAGGAGATGGATAGTCCCACTAGATCAGAGCGGAGTAGACCAAACACACAGGACCCTGTTAGACGGGAATACAACTTCAATCAAATATCGGACCATATCGAAGCTGAATCAGATTCATGCTCCAAGATTAGTATCTCAGTTGAAAGCAATTCATCTGACACCCAATTTCTTGGTAGATTATTCGGAAACGGCGAAGACGAAGATGATGGAGTGACCATGAACATTATATCAAAACAGACAATAGAAAAAGTAGAATCTGTGAAGGTTGATTCTATAACAAGTTCAGATGAATTGAGAGATAATGCAGAATGAAAAACAAGCTGGGTTTGCTTTTAGAGTCAATCGTTTGAGCTGTATCAGCTTCCAAGTCGCATAATTCAATTTGTTGCTGCAATTTATCTTTCATACCCGTGATTGTTGCTTTAGATAAATGCTTCTTTTACATGTTGTAAATGGTTTAACGGTGGTTTTCTTAGTTCTAAACTTAACAGTAACAATAGCAAAGTTCTAAACTAACAAATACATCTAATTATATCACGCATTGATTGTATTAATTAACAGACCATAATATGTAGAAACCAGCAATCTTCTAATATCCGTTCAACGCTCAGCAAAATCGAATAAACAAGCAAAGGGGTTCTCCTCAAATCATGTGATGAATCCTTGTCTTTTTAACCAAAACTTTGCTCGACTAACGGCAACCTCACCAGACGCAACAAAATGCCCATTCTTTACTTGCCTTAAAATGCAAAAGCAGGTATGTATCTAGTTTCCAGATGAAATTAGTAACTGAGATTGTATGGTGGTCACATCTTTATTAACACGGAAATTTATACAGGGTTCTTTTCAGTTATCTCTGGGACTATTTCATCTCAAAACAATATTAAAGTACTGTCCTATGAAATTCATGAGCACATTTTTAGTGCATCATAATAATACGTAGTGGTATGCAGTCAACAGCGTTCTTTCGGAATTTTGCCTCGCACCTTCGACTAAATACCGCAAAGAAATGGCAGAAAAACAATAAATAAATTCCATGCGCTACCCCTAGCATCATTCTTTGTGCAGGAAGGTGGTTTTATGAAAGGATTGAGACAGATGAACTGGTCAGTTGTCTTCTCGTTTCTCTCGTACCCGGGATCACAAACCATTGTCATGATACTTCCGGGCAGGAAGAATGGTACCGTTGTGTTGGTTGTGACTGCTCCGTTTTTTATTGCTGTATATGTTGCGCATGGTCCTTCGTGTTGTCCTACTGTGTCGAATGTCATGTCTTTTAAAGTTTCCCAGCACTTTTGGCATAAGTGTAAGCTGTAGTTATCAGTTGTGGTTAGTTCTATTGACACTATTAACTGACCATGCTGTACTTCTCCTATCGCTGTTGGTGTTATCTTTAGTTTTTGGTTTATCCCTGTCGAGCAATCTGAAAGAGTAACAGACCTTCTACCTGTATCGCCATATTGTATTACATTGATGCACTTTCCAGATGTTTTATCTTTGATCCATACAAGCATAGCCGTAGGGTCCTTCCATTTCACGATCCAAAGTGAGGTGTCCGTACATTGTCCCCACTCGACAGGCTCCCATGTCTTTCCACTTGCTCTTAGACACTTCATCGTAACTCCGTTCTTAACAAAAACTTCTAGCTTATTTTTTCCACTAGTCATTGCTTGCCATTCCGTGATAGGATCATTCGCTTCTAGTTCAACAATACGCTGAAGATTTCTGACACAACTCAAGTTCCCTATAACGGAGAAATTATCTTCAAACGGAGCTACATGATCGTTAAGTAGGGAGCAGATCCGAGTCAGGGAGTTGTACGCAAAGAAGTTGCAATGGTCAGAATACAGGCAGTACTGTCCACACTGTTCCAGGAAATCAGCTGGGAACTGATTGAGGGGAGCTCCGTCGCAGCATTCCATCTCACGATTTAGACTATAGCACATCTCCATCGGGTCTTCTTGTTCAATGTTTACAGTCACTGGATACGTTACCGCACTTTTATTGGTGGGTAAAGTTCTCCTTGTTGCAGTTACAACAGTCACTAGATGTATGATTAACCAGAGGAGTTGGTTCCGTCTCATCCTTTGATAGAAGATCAACCTAAGAAGAGTTATACAGTATAAACATAAGCTCCTAGCAGACAAAATATCTCGGTGGAGTAATAAGTAACACTTTAACATGATAGGACATGACTTGCTAATGCTTTACCTTTCAAACATCCACTTCTCTTATAGGTGTTTTAAAGATACTGCACGAAAACAAAAAATATTGCTCTACCTCGATGCATATTGATATAGCGAGAATGAGTCATTAACGACAAGAGAAATGCCATTGTTGGACGTGAGGAGAGTGAGGACTAATACTATTTCAACAAAGACCGACGTCATTTTTTACAGTATAATGTTGACATTTTACGTTGAAATGGTTGTTAAAATAGTTTATTTAACCGTAACGGGAATAATGGCATTTAAAATTACATGCGGATACATGACGACCAATGAGGTTCACAATTTTGCTCGTGACATGATTATGGTTGTTAAAATACAGGGTGGGCTAAACATAACGTTACAATTTACATACGTTGGGTATTATAATACCACCGCCATGTTTCATATTTGAGACTTATTACTTTGCAGTTTGCAGATGGGATGATGTTACTACTCATTCTAAGATTCCGTCGCCAAAATTCTAAAATTCAAATATTTCAGACCACGCCCATATAATATCAAATCATTTATATTGTTCTTTCCGAACATGCTAGACGCCCAATTTTCTCAGATTTCTGTAGATAACAAATTGCTACATCTTATCTGAAAAACTGAGGCAAAACGGATATGAAATGACGAAGTTATCAAGCATTTTGTGTATATCGGTAACAAAATTGATTGGGTGATTATGTGACACGACACCTGAACTGGGCTGTCTTCACAATTGACGGGTCACCTAATCACCCGAACAAGTAAGCCTGTCAACTGATCACACGTAATGAATAAACTCGTTATGCTTCGTATCTCAGTCATCTGAGAGGCTACAACTCTCGTTTTTTTTTCAGGACAAACGTAATTCGAATGGCCAAACACAATTGAATAAAATTTGGCTCGATTCGATTATCAGAACCATCAAATAAATGCGATAATGAACCTTCATTCGAAAAAAAATTAAGATGAATATTCTTTGATTTAACATATTCCTCGAATGAGTGGGGATAGTAAGTAAGTAATACCAAAAGGAATTAACGCAATCGAGCAATCAGTGACTGAGCTATAAAGTATAAAGGCCCAGTCATTATTATTATTAAGGCTGTAACGTTACAATATTGCCCAATATTATAATATATGTACATGACCACCACAATTTTGCCCGAGAAATGATTTTGCATGCCCGAAGAAAGTACGGGTATTCGAGTTTTGATCCTTTATTTATGGTCCTTAATTGATATAGAACGAACAATTAGGCAACGATTTCTAGAGCGCCTTCCGGTTAAGAATATTACCCTGGAGTTGATAGCCACAAACCAATGCTGCAGAGAAGACCGCTATGATTATTAATTGAAGTACAACAATGATTCCGTTACCGAACCCATTTACAGATTCTGGGAAACTCTAACCAATGAATGCTCTGGATCAGGCATTTTCAAAATTAATAAATTCAAATCTACAATCACTTACTCCGAATTTGGAGCGGCAGGAGAGTTAGCGGGCACCCAACCGCGCACACAACCCGATGACTCGCAGTGATTCTTGACAGTGTTGTACGTTAGCCACCAGTTGCGGCACCGACACCGCGAGCACGGGCACATGAACTCCTTCCTTTGGTCTGGGTTTGGTGAGAGGGGTTAGTGAGGGGTCGAATAGGCTAAAAATAGAATATCATGTAGAATTTATTACATTCTGCAAATCAGCAAACTATTTAAAAATGTCTTTTGAAGATAAACTGTAGTACCCAAACATCGTTTGGCCAAATATTAGTAAATTCCTAGATTAATTTCATTTTGAGTGCTTCTAAATAATTACCATGTCGTCTAAATCGGACCCAGAGTTCGTTTTCCGTTTCTACAGTATTGAGTACAACGGCATTGTTATCTCCAGTATTACTGGCTGTAGTGATTCCTGAAAAAGTCAATGATGAGAAACGTTCAAAGAAACAATTGAATCTAAACATAATATTTTCAGTCAACGGTTTACCCTGATGAAGTAGTACTAAGAAATCTTAGAAACCCCGTTAACAAGACGAAACTTTAATCCATAAACGAGACCTGATCTAAGTCTCATGTCGCAAGGCGTTAGAAGAGTTAAGAGGGCAGAACTGATAACACTGGAAGTGCTCGGCTGGTTCAAAGTGGTGCGATGGATATTCGCACTTCTGCTTTGATTATTTAAGAAGTTGGCAGGAATATGTTGATTGGGGAGACTCGTCGCTTGATTCAGATAGTTTGTTATGTTGACAGCAGGGTTAAAAGAGCCAGAGGTAACAGACAGGACAGAACCGTCAGATAGGGGCTCTGTTAGGGTAACAAGAGAGAGTTTACTGCCAAGCACGGAAATGTTGCTGATATCTATAGAGCGAAACATAACAGAGGAGATGGGAGAGTTTGAGGCAGAAAGTTGGATCATAGATTTATATGTGTAATGATAAGTGGACCTTTTAATGAGCTAATAGTATTTCTGGGAACAAGTTGTCGGGTATTTATAATCAAGTCGACTGTCAGCAGTGTTTGTCCAGTGTTTTTTCATCGATCATTATTTTTTACAATCCCATAATTACTCATTAAATTGAGAGTAAAGTTGAGAGCTGTTTTTAATGCTTCATCGGTTGGATTATTGAGATTATGAAGTCCATTTTTTAATAATATTTTTAAAGAAATGAATAGAATGAGACAAGTTTTTGAGAGTCAAAAATTCGATCAAATTTATCAATAATTGCAAGATATAAAAACCTGCTGATCCAGAGGGTATTGACCCTGAGGGTGGAGGTGAAGGATTGGAGAGGGTCGCTAAAGCCCCTGTCACTGCACTGATTACAGAAGATACCGTCAAACTTGCGAGATTACTGAAATTTCATTGTGAACCGCGAGCAAATCGAGAGCTAATCTCAGAAATCAGGATAGCGTTAATTGAAATAAAGACCAATAAATAATAATAGCTTATTTGATATGAAAGCAAAACCTGCTGCTAGCGGCTGACTGAGGTAAACTGTTGCTGGCAGCTGAAGCTGTAGAAGGGGTGGAGATGGGAGGAGGGGTGGAGATGGGAGGAGCTGGTCTGGTTAGCGGGGTCAGCTGGGGGATGTTGGGAGTTGGGAGTGATGGTGTGCTGACTGGAGTGGTGGGGTTGTTGGGTGTTTGGTTCACGGAGGTGGTTGAAGACGGAGCTGATGAGTTTATCCAGCCTGCTATTAAGTAAAGATGATGGTTCCGGTTAGGTTCGATAAATTTATCCGCATGTGTCATATTGGGGGGGGGGGGGGGCAATGACTACCAATGGAGACTTTTGGGGACTAATGGGGACTAAAAATCATGGGGACTAGAGGTCAACTCGTTGACGTAATTCACCATTTGTCCCCATAAGTCCCCAGAATTTTTGACAGTTATTTATGGTTTTCAAGTTAGTTTAATAACGATACGATCGAGATGTTTTGTCCAAGATAAGAGTAGGATAAATCTAAATGGGGACTAATGGAGACTTTTGGGGACTAATGGGGACTAAAAATCATCTAAATGGGGACTAATGGAGACTTTTGGGGACTAAAAATCATGGGGACTCGGGGTAAAATCGTTGACGTAATTCCCCAAGTCCCCAAAAGTAGTCATTGGCCCCCCCCCCCCCCGTCATATTACTATCTTTCCTGCTATAAATACTTAATCTTTAAATAAGCTATATTGTTAAAACAACCAACTCACCAGAACTGTTCGAACTGGAAGGTAGATTAGGATCCGAAGCTGGAGCGATTGGAATTCTGTTTGGAGTTCTATTTTTCCGTTCTTGTCTCCTTTTCTCCCGGTATGCATCGGACACAACTATCACTATGTCGTCGTCAAACAGTTTGTCGTCTTTTGCCGACACAATGTCACAGTCCCCAACTGCGGGAAGATACAATTAATTGGGTATAAATTATAATTAACATAATTAATTATAATCCATGTATTGGTTTTGTATATTAGAGCTTTAGCCACAGGTAGGTTGGTCTGCACGGAGCCCCACAGTTTCAATTCCTTGTTTAACTAGCCGTACAGCAAGGATATCCACTGTGCTCACCAGGTTAGGCACATAACCAACATTACCTTGCTAAAGTTAGCTATATACTATGGTTTTCTCGAAAGTATTTCCTTGTATTTGACTTTCGTCAAGAAAGTACTCTTACTTTCGGTTAAGATGTTATATAAGCTAGCCTTTATGTGGTCCGCAGGGCGGAGGAACCGCCACACACTTCTCACCCAGCTACAAATACAATGTATTGGTTTTGTATATTAGAGCTTTAGCCACAGGTAGGTTGGTCTGCACGGAGCCCCACAGTTTCAATTCCTTGTTTAACTAGCCGTACAGCAAGGATATCCACTGTGCTCACCAGGTTAGGCACATAACCAACATTACCTTGCTAAAGTTAGCTATATACTATGGTTTTCTCGAAAGTATTTCCTTGTATTTGACTTTCGTCAAGAAAGTACTCTTACTTTCTCCATTTCATTATGTCCAGATTGAGATTACATTGATACAAATTACAAAATTGTACTATCTCAGCCAAACCTTTACCCCGGCAGCAGGCAGTTCAAGGACGATAAAACCCGAAGAATCTACGTATAGATGGAGTGATAATACAAACAAGTTGAAAAGCAAGCTTGAAAATGTGAAATGAGGTTCACTAACATGTTTTAGGTCTGAAGCCTCCCAAACTCTGCTGAGAGCTCTGAACCTGAGAAGAGGTAACTGTATTACAGATTCCTGTTTGGTTAGACCGTAGCTAGACGTGACGCACACGTCCCGCAAGAAGCTGCTCGGCAGAAGAATTGAGACCTAGGGGTCGTTCACAATTCACATGTTACGTAATCAGCCGAGGGGGGGGGGGGGGGTCCAAATAATTACGCTAGTGTAATTTTGACACAAAAGCTATGTGTAAAACTGAGATAACGGAGGGGGAGGGTGGTTAAAAATTGGCCAAAAAGTGATCACGTAATATGTGAACGACCCCCTAAAAAACATCCAGTAGTTTGAAATTCTGCTCAGTTTAATCTATGTACCATAAACCCATCCGCGCGCCTAGTCCATAAATGAAAATAAATGTAAACACTGGCCCTTCGGACCTGAGTTTATAAAGAGTCATTATTGGGCTACAAATCTACAGATCTGCTATGCTATAACGAATTTCAATGAAAATAAAACAATGAAGCAATTGTAAATTATCATAACTTGGTATAATTAAACGGAATTCAAATAATAAATCAATATAACACAGAAATGAGTAAGTTTACAGAATTGATTACAACATGGCGGGAAAAATTATATACTGTTTACAGTTAGCTACGAATATTATACGTTTTTAATGCAATCAACAAGAAATTTTACTTACTGATCAGTACTTTATTTTGACACAAATTCATCGGATATACCATTATCAATTGTCACCACTTATCATTTTATTTCCAATTATTTAAAACTATACCACCGAGAAAACATAAACCTTGCTAAATAATCAACACCAAATTGAAGGACGAAATAAATCTGAACAATTAACACTAATTAAAACAGAATAGGTAGAGCCAGCTCAACCGTGTTATTCCCTCCCATGGCACCAAAGTTCCTAACCCAAACAAAATCTATAATATTTGTTTAATTTCCTCATTTGAAGTTGCTGAAGTCCATCTTGAGGGCTATTTTAGGAGCAGTAGATATAGGACTGCTAGCAAGACGAGTTTGAGTTGTTTGAGCTTGTGCCTTGGCGGCCGATGTCCTGAATTTAGAAATGATTTAGTTTTGAGAATTCTGACATGAAGCGGTGTTAAACTAAAAGAAACTAAAATATGGAATTGGGGGTTTCTATAATCTAAATTAAAAACATGACGTTTTAGATCATTAAAAAAGTGTAAATCGACATTGATAAAATGAAAGTTTTCTGTTTGAAACCCGTGTCCTGACCTGATAGCAGTGGCCAGTCGCTGCTGGAGATGAGGTTGCTCGGAGAACATGTTCCTGACCTCAGCAGGATATGTCTGAGTCAGGTAGGTGATTTCAGCTAGACACAGTGCGTGTGCGGCACCAGTACCCAGCATCGATATCAGCACTGGAACTATAAGACTGAGGGGATGTAGGGAGTTAGAGATAACACGCCCTTGCCATGGTTACACTTACAATCAGGTGATAATAATAGTTCAATAGAGGATAACTAAGCATTGCTTTATAGATTACTGATTATTCTTGAAATACAAACATGAAACATGGTGCCTTTACAACACTGATCAGTAACTACCCACTAAGATCAAGACTAGCAGGGTCAAAAGGATTTCGCCATTATTTTGGCCAAAAATCGCGATACCGCGATTTTTAACAGACTATACATTAAACTATACATAAAATTTGTCGCAAATAATGGGGAAATCGCGATTCCGTACATGTCGCGATTTCCTTACATTGTCCCTGAAGACTAGCGAATATTTATACCTTATCATATGGATATGTGTATTAGGGAGACAGTAGGTCAGTAGTATTCTCTGTATAGATATTATCTCCTTGATCAGCGTCAGATCCTCCCCCGTACCCTTTTTCTGCAAATGTTTTGCTTATTTATAACTTTCTTGATAGCATTATCCTGACGATAAAAATAATATTAACAACATGCAATTTCATTAGTTCCAAAACGATAAATACCAGATATTATTTTCTTACCTGATAAGCGAAGAAAACCTCAAAGAAGGCCTCAGAAACTGATCTGATGTAACGTGTTCTGATAACGGGGTCACATGACATGATCAGAGTTTTAAAAGCACGCAGAGAGGTGAGCTGACTGTTCATATCTCCGTCGAGCATCTTGGAAAAAAGAGCTGACACTTTATCATAAACCTGTGAGTGGAATATCATTATAATATCATGTTATGAATATTAAACTTGAAAAATCGTCCAGTTCACTTCGATCAAAGTCTGAAAAACCATCACAGTATATCATGATACTACACAAAAACCAGCCCACAAGGCAAATAAACTTACAATCTGAACATTAGAAGCTTGTGGAGGAGCAGAGCAGATGAGGACTGTGAGAGTGCTGACGTAACTCTCAAGATGAGCCTGCTCACTCTTCTGATCCAGGGTCTGGAGGAGGGTCACCAGGGTGGTGGTGATGCAGGTTAACCATCTCCTGTCGTTACTGTCCTTTATTTCCATGTTCTTTATAACGCTGCAGAGACCTGGAATAGTTGGGTTTATTTATCTATGTAGATTTGAAAGATTGGTTTGAAGGTTTGAACAAATTATAATGATTCAGACCGAGCCTCCAGGTTTACAAGCCGACCAGTATTCATGTCTTGTTAGTCCAGTATTAGAAGCAGATGAAATTGTAAATAGCGTCAGTTACATTGAGCAGCAGAGTGCCCCCCCCCCGGCCCCTGTATTCACCTTGGGAGATGTGTGGGACTACACTGAAGAACTTGTGTCCCATGGAAGGGGTGCCGTGCAGCACAAAGTCAGAGGTTTTCACTTGTTCCTCTTTCTCCTCCTCCGAGGGGTTCACTGCACACGCACTGAACAGACCTAAGCAGTGATCATATATCAAATTTAGAAAGTCTTGAGAGATGTTAGATTATTTAATTCCTGCCCGAAACCGTCAGAATACTTTAAGAAGCTCAGAAAATAATTTAGCCTTCCTTTCTAGTGTGTACCTGTTAGAAGAAGGAATGCCGCCTCGGGTACCTCAACATAAAACTGATCTGTCGGAAGGCTGACTAGACCAACAATCACGTCTATACTCAACCTTATCAGCTCTTTGATCTGAAATGCAAAGGTACTAAAGACAAATAGCAACTATCAATATAAAATGTGCTTATATCAAAATACTGTCAAAGAAAGTGCAGAAATCGATAACTTGTATCTTCGCCATCAATAAAAACAGTCATCTTTAGGCAACGATATTACAGTTTACGCGATTCTAGATAAGATTTAAAAAATACAAAGTTCTCACCGCTGTAAGTGGTTCACCAGTAGAAGCGTAGCTGCTGATCGGAGTTTTAGGGTGATCTGTGGGGCTAATCTCTGGGAACCTCCGGAGCAACACACACATTGCCATCTCCAGGTTAGCGAAGAGGAAGGAGTTCCCTGGTTCCAGTCTATCGTCACTTCCTTCTCCCGTGTTCCGTCTACACTCCTGGAGCGGTAAAATTGTTGTTAGTTCAATTTCGAGTAAGTACAGTAATTAAATTAGTACGGTAATTACACTTTTACATTCGTTGCTAAACTGTAGCTATGTTATTTCTTAGGTTATCTCAGTTTAATATCCGACATGTAACAGTGGGTGGGCGACAATTGACAATTTAATACAATTAACTCTGACCCTGACCCTGACCCTGACCCTGACCCTGACCCTGACCCTGACCCTGACCCTGACCCTGACCCTGACCCTGACCCTGACCCTGACCCTGACCCTGACCCTGACCCTAACCCAGGACTCTGACCCAGACCCTAACCCGATCAACTGACCCCAGTGTAATTACATGGGGGTCAATTGACGGGGGGTCAATTGTCGGGGGTCAATTGTCGCGGTTCCGTAACAGTTTGTTTTACAGCCACAGCTTTACCTTGTAATGCAAAGTGAATACTTAATGGAATTGATAGTTTGTTTAATGGAGCCACTAACGTCATTGATTTAAAATGTATTTGAAAACTGATGAGCTAAAATTTCTCCAAGTTCAAACGATAAAAGCAATACCTGAAGAAGCAGCAGGCATTTAAGAGCGTGGATGTGAATCTGAGCATTAGACCTAGTGAGGACAATTCTGTGCAGAACGTTGACGTATTCCACACAGGTTGAGTGGTTATACGCTATCTTAGCTTGGCTCCATGGCGAGGATATCAGTTCAGTAAACGCCTCCAGGCAGATGCAGATGGTCTGGTTTGTGTGAGTTGAGGAGGGAGCACACAGTGCTTCTATCGCTACACCTGGGAGGTATTCGTTAAGAACTTTAATCAAATTATTTCAATAAAGTACGTGCTGTGTTAACCTGGGGTCTTCTTCTTATTATTATTCGAGGGCTGTGGTTATGGTCCAGATGAAGACTATAAGATAAAGCATTGGAGCATTGTGCTCACTTTAATATTTGGAAAAACTTAACTACGGTACTAGCAAAACTGCGCGTTTTAATCTGGAAACACACTTTTCTAGAGATTTTACCGGCGTATCCTCTAAAATCACCTAATTTATCCAATTTTAGGGAGGGGCGCCAAAAGGGGAGGGGCGCCAACAGGCAACTTTATGCCACTGGTAGTCGGCTTAAATTTGTGAAGATGATTAGATAATTGGTTAGATAGTTTGGTTCGCAGTGTCCGGAACTGAGTCGCTGATCTTGTGCTCTATTTTGCCAAGTTGTCCTGGGGTTAACAGGCAACCGTTTGAAACTTTAATCAGATGATAGCCAACAGAAATTCATACTTGGGGTGTACACTTGACTACGTTCAACTTATGTAATTCATCAGTTTTCAATAAGAAAAAGATATTAAAAAAAGTGTTCCAAAAGTCGTGAGGCGAACAGACGGTTATCTGTTCACTTGTCTGACCCAGGTTTACTCTGCCAAGGGTTTGACTGTGACACTCATGATAGCCTGCCACAAACACACCTTGCCGATCTCAATAAGCGTGAATAAACGAATAAATATTTGTCGAAAAAATATTTCCTTGTGTTTGAAAATTGCCTTACCAATCGATAAAAACAGTCTATCTTCGTTCGTCATATCAGTGATCTTGTCCATCTCTTTTCTGAACGGATGTTTGTTAAGCCACATGGCAGCGGCGTGAAGGATAGACGGCCATGTTCTTCTATAGTGTGGTCGGGAGCTGTCAATGGTGTCCGCACAGTAGAAAGTGCCGCCGTTGGGCGGCAGCTGGGTGGCAAATGAAGGCGGCAGAGCGAGAAGGGCGTGATCTCGGATAGCAGACATCCACAGTTCAGAGAGGTAACTCTCGTGTGCCTCTACCTGGAGGTTGAAAACAGTCAATGCTGTGAAGAAACCAGATTATGAATGTTTATTGTCCTTTTTGGACCCTATGAGATAACGGACGTGTTTTTATGACATAAGCGGACATTAATGGACAGTAGTGAACACAAACGTAGGCAATTTAAAAACGTGGTATTTGAAATTGCGTTCACATATTACGTCAGCAGCCTTTCTGCCGTCAGCAAAAATACCTGAATTTTTGCCCAAATTTAGAAGGTAGGCCCATAATTTGATTTATAACTTTCATTAATATAAACTTTCATTAATATTAACAACATCTGCAATCTGCATTAGTCTCGCGTCATAAGCGTAGTTACTAGTTATTTGCACAAGATTATATTTAGAATTAGAAAGTTGAGAATATGGCTGATATGACAAAGTTTGATTACGTTTGCACGTTCTGCCTAACCCAAATACTAGACTGAATGTTTAGTGCTGCCATAACTTACGAATGATGGGCAGGGGTGGATCCAGCAAGAAAATCTTGCATATCGGGGGTCGTACATCGGTCGAAGCCCGTAGGGCCAAGCGAACAGCGGAGGTCGATGATTCGGCCGGAGAGGGCCCGTTGCAGGCGAAAATTTTGGGGGAAACTGCGTTTTTAACCCCTTTTCCAAGCATTTTATACTAGAAACAGTAATAGGATTTATGGGGGCATGAGTATTAGTAAGAGTCCAGAGCACGTGTGCTCTAACATGGTTTTCCACAATCATATTGATATAGCACAGTCAAATCCTGTTTACTTTTGCATGCCCTAACCAATCTGAGCACTTCTCAGCCTAAACATTCTTTGTTGCCATTGTTTTTATATATGATTTCATTGCTGTATAATTCTGTATTATTTGATTTCAAATCAAATGATACAGAGTTAAGGGGAGATACACCAAAAACGTTTTTGCTCCGAACATCGATTTTATTTTATATTATGGTTAAATAGACAAAAAGAATAAGATTGCACACCTTCAAAATTTTCTAAAAATATTCCCTCATCGAGAAAAAATATATTTTTCTTTTTCGAAAATTTTTAAAATTTTGAGAAGTCTGTCACTGTAATACCGATAGTTCGGCCATTTTAAAAGTTTTTTTGCTGATTTTTTTACTGAACATTACTTACAATCCGTACAAGAAGCCATTGAAAGGATTAAATAATTGAACGATAAATGACGAAGTTAGAGACCAAACAAGGTCGAAAAAATAAAAATTGGAATTTTTCCCACTTCTAAAGTTGTACATTTCACCTATCACCCGGGTCAGCAGATATCGCTTCAAAAATTCTTGTGAGTGTAGCTGATGATCATATCAAACTTTTTGGAGTAGGATTTCTCTCAGATTTGAATTTTAAGCTATGCAATGTGGCCTCAAACGACTTAGTAAAATTCATCGTAAAAAAGGGCAAAAAAGGCAGATTTAAGGCTTAAAATGCCTATAACTCAAAAAGTGTCAGTTTTTTTGAAATAATTTTTACAGAATCGTAATCAGCTTGGTAAGACGAATCTTTTAGTACCAAATAGGTGCTTTTAGAAGACAAATTGTCTTAAATAATTTTCTAGCTCGAACACAAGGGTCCCCCCTTGTATAAATTTTGTACAAATTGTACACATTTTTTTACAAATTTTGTGTCTTTAAATATTATAAATGTCGTACTAAAAGATTCGTCTTACCAAGCTGATTACGATCCTGTAAAAATTATTTCAAAAAAACTGATACTTTTTGAGTTATAGGCATTTTAAGCCTTAAATCTGCCTTTTTTGCCCTTTTTTACGATGAATTTTACTAAGTCGTTTGAGGCCACATTGCATAGCTTAAAACTCAAATCTGAGAGAAATCCTACTCCAAAAAGTTTGATATGATCATCAGCTACACTCACAAGAATTTTTGAAGCGATATCTGCTGACCCGGGTGATAGGTGAAATGTACAACTTTAGAAGTGGGAAAAATTTCAATTTTTATTTTTTCGACCTTGTTTGGTCTCTAACTTCGTCATTTATCGTTCAATTATTTAATCCTTTCAATGGCTTCTTGTACGGATTGTAAGTAATGTTCAGTAAAAAAAATCAGCAAAAAAACTTTTAAAATGGCCGAACTATCGGTATTACAGTGACAGACTTCTCAAAATTTTAAAAATTTTCGAAAAAGAAAAATATATTTTTTCTCGATGAGGGAATATTTTTAGAAAATTTTGAAGGTGTGCAATCTTATTCTTTTTGTCTATTTAACCATAATATAAAATAAAATCGATGTTCGGAGCAAAAACGTTTTTGGTGTATCTCCCCTTATTAACAGCTTACAACGTTTGGGAAATCATTCCCGGATGAGCCTCTAGTGGCAGGATACAGCTGTCGAAATGGAAACTCGTTACTGGACTGGAGTGAAATAAAGGCAGCGATCTCGCTGTCCGGGTGGTCAGCAACTCTGATGACCCGATAGAGGATTCTATGGAGCACACCAAATGCTCAGACATGCGATACTACTGTTAACAATCCTCCAATATTTATACCTTTATACCTAGAAATACAGCGTATTTAAAAACGCAGACGAACAATTTACTTGCATCTCAATAAAAACCTTTGACTTGTTACCCTTGACGTACAACCCATCGATACGAACCATCAAACCCATTTTTACTTAAGTAAAACATTTTTACTTAAGTAAAACTGATTAATCTCTCAAGTGTGCCCCAAGTAACTTTTTGCCCCAACTGTGCCCCAGGAAATACAATTTTGTGCCCCAAGTGTGCCTAGCTAGATTACCAAATTGCCGAATTGTCTAACGTCTTTTGATACGAGAACTCCCCGTTTAGTAAGGACTCCTATCAACAGACGCAATCCTTGCTTTATTTAGTAATATTGAGGGTCAGTAAAACTAGCGGGCTGCGATGAATGGGTACTTACCACCCCCTTGGCAATAAGCAGAATAGCACCATAGTTAAATAAATAACCGTATGATCCATATTATATTATGATCCATATAATGTTCAGTAATACTGCACACATTACAGTAATCGGTAATGGTTATTAATGGTTATTAATAGCGACAGAGCACTCTAAGAGGCCCTCAGACGTCATATCATATTCATTTGGAAATTAAATTCCCCGAAATTCTAGTCCGGGGACATTCACATAACGCATTTCCACAGTAACTTTATTTCAGATTGTGCAACATTATTTTACTCTGCTTGACGGCAGATAAGATGCAGGCTCAGTAACTGAAAGTTTTATGGAGCCTAAATTAAAATAGAATAGTAAACAAGATTTTAAGGCCTATCTCAAAATTTTGAGATGACAGATCTCTTCTAAATAATTCTTAGAACATATCTTGAAAGTTTCAAACCGATTGCTCAAAAACTGTTTGAGAGTAGCGAACACAAACGGGAAAAAATTGAGCAATACTGGACACATTACAGTAATCGGTAATGGTTTACAATGGTTATCAATGGTGACAGAGCACTCTAGAGACGTTATTTTATGTGGATTAAAACATCATAATATCTTGAACTTAAGTCTCATCCGAGGTATTTAAATGTAGCCTGTCATGTTAGAAATCTGAAATTGGACTGATGATATAAAACGCGACTACTGGTCTAATGTGAACTGTCAACTGTGTGGTGGATCCTCTTAATAAGGATTCAAGTCAATCAGTTTCCGACATAAGTATTTTGTTCTGCCATTTTAAAGCTGCTGTAGTGCTCTCTTAATTGTTGTAAATCACTACGGCAGCACAATGAGAGCTCATCTCCAGACACTGTCAGATTGACGGCACAATTTGTTTAATAATAGCAGAGGGAGAGAGATAGAGAGAGAGGTTGATCTGGGAAATGGTAATTCTGGAGATTATATTCTGTGTAATTATTAATGAAGTGAACCATGTGAGCTTATACGGTTTAAATTCATAAGTAAAACTTATATCCACCAGCGGGCCCGCTTACCCGCTAGTTAAAAGGCCTGACATTTCTCAGCCCGCTGTTACACTTACAGCCCGCTGATATAGCCCGCATGAAATTTGACCATTAGCGATATAGCCCGGAGACAGGATAAGAGTTTCACTTTATTTTTGTGCCCGGTAAAACTCTCATATTCAATGTCCATGATCAGACTGTGATCTCGAGCTCTCTGGGTTACTTTGATGGTATAACCTGTAAGCTGAATTATTTTTTAAATATTTAGGCCGGGTTTGTACTTGAAAATATATTGTGTACCGAATAGAAACTTGCCCTGTTTTGACACCGCCAGTAAAATGATGTTTTTGCGAATTTTACGTTCTACTCTCACGTTTTCTCCGTTTCTAAAAACCAGTTCAATTTCAGTTCACTCTCGGACAATTCTTGATAACTCCCAGTTCACTTTCATAGTAGGCTGAGGTATACACTTAGACGGGCATAATTATGTTATTTTCATGCCACATCTCAACTTGTTTATAATTCTTAGCTAATTCATCGATTTTCCTAGTAAGCGTGAATTGTTTTACTCTACATTTACATCAAGTTTACTTAAGCAGCGCTCCATTCTTGATCATACAATTCGATGTCTGATTATGTTATAAATATGTCTTAATATCTTGAGACATGGCGTCTTTTTCCGGAATTTACAGATTGAATTAGTGACATTGGTCTTATATGTTATATGGCCAAATCTGCAGGACAAATAACTCCATAATGCTTGTACGATTTAAAAAACCAATGAAATGTAGAATTTTAGTCTCTGGTGTCAAGACTGAAGAGACTAACATAGTTATTACGCAAGATTGCCTATTAGGTATTACTATTGGATACGTGTTGGGTAATGGTTTATTATTATCAAACTTTACACAAATCCAAAGTAGTTACTAAGAACATCCTAAAGACCTGATAAGTCTACTTAAAAGACTTGTAGAACTGAAAACTTACTATAAATGCAAAAAATGGAACTTAAAACTGAACTTATCAAAATCAAAAATTATGCAAATGGTTTACAATGGTTATTAATGGTGACAGAGCACTCTAG